ACAAACTAATTAAACACGAAGGCGCGCTATATAAGGAAGTCTTCCCTGGGAAGACCTAGGCTCATTTGTCACTCACCGTTGACGTGTGCGGGTCAAATTTAAATGCTGGTAGACGAACAAAAGGAGCTAATGAGATATCTATTGTTTACTTCCACCAGCATGGTGGCATGAGGTAACGTGCGAACCACCTACTTCGATCTCAAATTTACCGCCACAAATAAAGACAGTTTCTATTAGAGAAAGGAAATACAAATCTCAAAAATTCTTGTATCTTGATGAAGCCATAAAACAATTTCGAGGAATGCGCCCGCTGTTCACTGCTTTGGAGTAGCTGTAGCTCAAGCTGACTTCACTCTAAGAGTTCTATATCACACGACAGTTGATTGACAAATGGTCCAGTGGGACCTAAGGCTCCTTTTATAGCGCGTCTTCTTGTTTAAGACTGTAGCACTGAGGAAGTTCATTTGATGATTACACGGTCAAAATTAACTGAAGTTAGGACCCAAGGGGCCTATCGACGCCAGAATCTGGCGAATTAGATAGGAATAAGCGGCTTATTCCGGTTATATTTACACAAAGCGATAAGGAGTATTACCCTCCCTCAAAAGCATGCAGTATGGAATACCAGTCATCGCAGGTCATTTCCTGGGCTAAGTTGTCTGAATGAAGCACCATTAACACCAATGGAGAGCTTAAGTACCCTAACAACGAAAAGTTTGTGATTGTAGTCACCCGCGATCAGTGTGCATCGGGTTTTAAAGCTTATCTCACCCAATACTTTTCGGGTTTCCCCTCCGTTTGAAAGCGAGGAAGGTAAACAAGGTTTGTGACAACTCACCCGTACTGTTTGTATTAATGCTCTTCCGTCCAATCTCGTCCTCCCGTCCTTTCCCGATAGTTGCTGCAGTGACAGGGTTGGCACTTTTTCCAGTAGTAGCGATCAGACGTGGATCTTTCTCTCTGCTTGCAACCCCCTTGGAGTGGTCTATACCCGCCGAAGTAAGGTCTTCGTGATCCATTTCCTGTACACAAGAACAAACCAAATCCTTCTTCTGATTTCTACCTTTTTTCCATCCACCAGCGTTACCCTTGATTTCTTTGCTTTGCCTAGCTGGGCTACTATTTATGCTTCTCGGTGCGATTGCTGTTTCGTGCTTCTCATCACAGGCCTCGATGCTCATTGGAATATTATCTCTACTCTGATTAGAGATTTCTGGTTCTTCCGAAGACGCGGAATGAACCTCGGTGCTTGGAATGGAAGACTGATTAGGTGACGGTCCACGTTGAGGTGTTGCACAAGGGGAAGGTGTAGAAGATATTATGCAATTACATGAATGATTAGGGGACTGGCCACGAGGAGTCATGCGTAGCGAAGTTGATGTGGAACGAGGCAATGGAGGACAACGATCAGGCGACAAGCAACTTGAATGACTTGATGTTTCATTTATTGAAGATGAGGAGTTGTAACTCGGATTACGCGACCAATTACGAGAGGAAAAGCAAGGTGACGACGAAGACGATGAAAAGGGATCGCCACTGTTCACGGGTGACACCCCACGAACAGGTGTAGCACCATCGCGAGAGGAAACTCCTGGGGTTGGAGGGTTTGAGGAACTTTTGCCAGATGGAGTGTTTCTTCCATGCAGGCAAGACTGCAGTTCTTCGGAGGATGAAGAGTGTCCCATCTCGTCCATGAGCTGGTCTGAAAGTGAGAGGGTACTTAAGTTTGAAATAGTATGTTTTTTGGGAGGAAAATCTTTTTCTTCTTCGGATCCATGCACCAGCTGGGTCGATATAAGAAAACAATTTGACAAAAGAGCTTCACAAAAATTTACTCAACTTCTTTTTTTTGGTACGTCTAGGAGGGCAGTTTAAGACATGCAATTATGAAATGTTGATAATTTACCAGATGGATTTATGCGACAGGCACACTGCATTTCATCGATCTCCTTCTTCTGTCCGACCCCAGGATGTCTTAGTTCTAACCAAGAAAGGAGACAAATAAATGTAGATTACAAAAGAGATCACTTCAAATCTACATACTGGAATCTTATAAGTCCAACGACAGATGACTTAGTAATACTTCGTGACAGTAAAACAACAAGTACTCACCAGTAGAGGGAAAGGGTGACAATAATGCTGGTGACACAGCCTCGTCTCGAGGAAAGAAAGGTTCCGCTCCGTCTAAAAAATAGTTAATCGAATGATAATTAAATCGTGGAAATATTTGCAAAGCTTTAGTCTATTTAACAATTATTCCACGAGCGCGCGTTGAATGTGAGATGATAGATAGCCAACGAGGCGCTACGCGCCTCGTTCGCTATAATCATCTCATATCCAACAAGCGCGAGTGGAATAATTTTTTATTAAAAAAAACGCCCCCGAGATAGGAGACAAACTATCTTGACTTTATTTTGTAGGAAGTAACCGGATTTTACATTGTACAGATATTAGATTATGGTATATTGGCTCATATACCATAATGGCTAAGCCAATAAAAAGTCTTGAATTGCATTATCCAATGCTCCAGTCTTTAATAATTTGCATTTTTCCCACCCTCTATCACTTTTTATATGTTTTTCACCCTTGTCAACTGTTGTCGGTGTTCTTGTTTTTTTCAAAGACTTCATGTTTTGCAATTTTTGTTCTGGCATTGATTGCTCGTTTTTCCACCTTTGTCGCTGTTATTATCGGAACCAAACGCGGGAAAACGCATGTTACCTTTGCGTCGCAGATAACTGACAAACAATTGATAGTGATTTCAAACAACACCAGCTCTAAGCATTTTTGATAGAACCTACTTGTCACATTATGTGCTTGTTCAGCGTAGTGATCTTCTGATGTCAGGGGGGCCGACGAACTACCGCCTTCGACATCATGATCGGACGGCAATTCTCGATACCTCCGGCAAGGCACGCCGCACAATTCTTTGATTTGTTTTCGTTTGCGAAATGCCACAAAGAGTAAGGTGGTGCCAACCAAAGACCCCATCAGACAGAAGAAAACCATCCAGCCTGGTTTACCAAAGCGCCTTTCAGAACTTACTATGAAAATTAATGATAATTGGCTATGAGGAATCTCATGTTGAGGAAGCAGCCATTATTTATCGCCTAGAGGGGGTAGGGGTGAGTGGATGATCCAGGGGGGATCACACGGGGCGATATAAAGGGAGAACTATTGTCAGCACCTGAAGAAATGTATAGAGAACAGTATGGAGAATATGCATACTGATGTTAGGGTGTAAAGGGTTAACTTACCCTTTTGTGAGGTTTTTGGATCTCTATCAGTTTCAGTTCCTGGCGGATCAGTGGGTGTGGACGGTGTTAACGGCAGCGTTGTCTTAGTCTTTTCGCTGGGGACCTGTTTCGTCGTCGCTGCGGTGGGTGGTGAGGTAACTGTTGTTGTCAATGGTACAGTAGCAGTCGGGATCGCACGACATACTCCATCATCTTCACGTTTCCTATGACAAGACAAGACAAAACAAGGATTTGTTACAAAGAAACCAGCACGATATCGCATCATAAGCCTGATACTGCAGCAGCAGAAGTCTTCAGTGAGTCTCAACGCAAGCTGGCACAGGTTCAAGTAGAATTAATGACAAACAGCGCGACTGACTTAAGTTAACAGTAGAGAAAAGGAGCCCTCCCTCCATTGTAACCAATGGATATCCTCCCATGCCACGGTGGGTACCGGTCAAAAATATCATACACTAGGAAAACTTTGATGGCAAATTTGAAATGTAGGCAAGTGGACAAATGATGCTTCAGACTGGACAGGGCTGAGAGCATGTTGCTGTACTTGGGATAGTATTACATGCTTTTTAAATTAAATATCTTATTCTCTTTTTCAACAACGGACTCTGGGGTGCTGATTCACTAACTAAGAATAGACTTCCCTAAATAGGTTTTATGAACTACCGTCAGTCACTAATGCCGTAACAGTCCTTCCCAGAACTACCCTCATCCGGACGATCAGGCTACAAAATCAAATATCTTACCCTACAGGACATTTATCAGCGCAAACAGTATCATTCTTCGGCGTGCACGCTGCTATTTCTACTTTATAATCACTTCTGCACGACTGGCATGTTGAGCAACGCCTGTGAGATTTCATGTCCTGGAAAAAATCCTTTCGACACGGTTTACACCCAACACCCGTTATTTCCCCTGCGTCGTTATGTCCACAGTGGTTTGTATACTCTTCCCCAGGGTTACACGCCGGGCAGAGTTTACAGCATTTTGTGTTTTTGTCAAAATACTCGCCAGAGCTGCATATCACCTCACACCCAGTAATGATCTAACAAAAGCAAACAGAGTAATGATGTTCAACACGTAAGATCTTCATATAATGCAATCACTGAGGTCATAACAGGTTGAAATCTAACAGTCGCAATGTACTGTCTTCGAGAATTTACTGAGCAAGTAAACGCGGAAGAAAGCTGGTCTGTATGATGTTTTCAGGGCCTCGATCCTTCCGAAAGAATTCCTTTCATTTTACTGCTAACCTTTCACGGGACCAGACTTTCGTTTTAGAGAGGTGAGGAATGGTAGAGAGATGCAGTTATAAAGCCTACATAAACCGAATGTCGATAGGACTTGGGTAAAAACCAACCTGGCGGGGGAATGCGAGCTAGATGCTTGAAAGAAGGGAACATAGTGGAAGGGATCCGCTAATTCCAGTAAAAGCATGGTGAAAGTGAACCTTTTTGCTAAAACGGCTTTGTTCAGGCCGATCAAAAAAAATCCCTCTTGTAATCCTTCTTGTATTTCATGTCATCGACAATCTTTCAGTTTCTACACAATTTGTTGTTAGGTAAGGATTATTAAAATCTATGGCTACTATGGCTAAAGTAAACATCTTTTTCCGCATTTCAGCCCTAAATTCAATTGATCAGTTCGTCTAACTACCCTTTTTTCTTTGCTGTAATTTTTACTGAATCGTGTATTATTAAAAGCTGCGACCGCGAGTGTTGGAAACCTGCTCCGAAAAGCCGAATATCTACCGCAAGAATTCTTAAGGAAAAGATCCCGAGTGTGTGGGCCACTCCAGGCAATTCTTCAAATATCATGACAACATTCTCCTAACTTTAGGCAGTATGACTGAATATATTGATAATCCAGATGGGGAGAATTAAGAATATGGATACGCACAAAACAATCTGAAGTCATTATGATCGTCGTGCAAGCGGGGAAAGTTTATGATGATTGAAATAAAAGTACCTAATTCGACAGTTGCTCATTCCTTCTTCCTATTTGCAATGAACTAATACAAATGTGAAATTGTATTTTGCAAACAGAAAAAAAGGCCACGTGCTTTTCAAATGCTTAACAATTGACTTCTGTGCTTGTTTGTACTTATTTGAATCTAAATTATATCTCTACAAGATTATTGCTTTCGCTAATAATCAGCCAAAAAATTTAACTCGTACACTTCCGAGTTTCTTTAAGTCAAATAAAGTGTACTTACGTCGTAGAAGAAAAGGGCGAGGTGCAATACTAACAATATGCCAATTTTCCTCATGGCCAAGAAATTTCAAATCGCGGCTGAAGCAGATCGCGGCAGATCTTTAGATAGCAACACCAGGGGCTGTGGTAACACTGTTAAGTGAAATGAGGTATACAAGCCAAGTGCACCTTACAGCTATTTGCTTCCCTTCGTGGGCGTGTACTTTCGAAACTGTCATGTGAGTCATATTAATAGTTTAAAATTAGGTTATTACGTTAAAAAAATCCCTTAAAATATGATTGAATCTTCCAAATCTTGTTTACTGACGTCTCTTAAACGTTCTTAAAGGCTACAACTATCTTCCATCTTATTCTTACAGCGTTCATGACTTGTGATAGCATACAGCTTGTAAGGTTTTGCTGAAACAAAGCTGTAACGCCGCTTAGAGTAAGGCCTCAGGTGCCTTTATTTCTAAGTAAATGACTTCCGCTGCTAATTTTGACTTCCGCTTTACATGTGGGACTCTTTGAGGATTACACGAGCTTAATACACCACTATAAGGAGCTGAAAATTTCCCTGGATAGCAGAAAATTGCCCTAATTAAGCAAACTACAGCTCAATTACATTCTGGTTCTCCATTTTTCGCTTTCTTGTAGAGCTGTCGACTTGACCGAGCATAGTCGGTAGCTATTTAAATATTCTGATATCAGTGCTGGACCATGACCTTTCCCGGAAAAAAAGCAGTCACTTGTCTAACACAAAATTAAACCCCGATTGACGCACGGAAAGCTTTAACGTCATTAAACAAAAGGCTTATATTTTCTAAAAGAAAGTGAAATTCTATTAGAAGTTAAAGGGTGTGGAAAAAGAATTAAAGAATACAGATGTCTCTTTGGTTCTTCTTGATGACAAACTAATGAAGTATCTTGAAAATATTGTACAATCCTCCCGTGTATTTTCATATTATTACATTTTTTAATATTTGCTAAAAGTGCTAAAAGTCTTCACACAGAACTTTGATGACTAGTAGAGTTGTCCAATTTAAATGTTGTGAATACAGCGTAGGGTTTTCATGATCAAATCCGCTGACCCATAGTGTTCTGTCATGACGTTAGTATATCTCAACACAGTTTCTAATCGCAAGCGAACTGAGGAGGCAGCGATCCAATCCCTTCGCTCAATGACAGGCGATGTTCTGCCGCTTTGACAGGGATAAAAAAACCAAGAGTCAAAACTTTCGCTTTTACTAGAGTTTTTTTCAACAGTTAAGCTCAAATCCCCCAAACAAATAACCCCAGCGAATCGACTACAAAAGAGACAATGGGTCTCTAACACCGGCTTACCTTGGATACGAAAACCTCTTTATTCAAGAATGAAATAATATCTGTTGAATAGTCATTACACGATCGAGCATCATGAAATGAAAGTTACTTATAATCTTAAATTGAGGTGGTGTATTTCGATTCTGTTTGCATAAACACCGTGGACACCTGGAAGTGAATGGTGATGATGCGCTCAGGAAACGCTGACGAACCTTCTTGGCTTTTTCGTATGCCTATGCTTTTGGCTGGACGCCTACTCTTCAACTTGAACTTGGAAAAGATTCTCTTTGAAAGGGGTGTGAGATGAAGTGTGTAGCATTCGAGATGTTCCTGCTCGGAGGGAAAGTCCCGTAATGAATAATTTATCCTTTGGACAGGAAATATACTGAATTATTTACTCAAGCGCTCTCACGAAACTTTCCAGGATTTTTCATATCGCAACTTCGGTTATATGTCCCGTAAAATGCGTCCCAGCTGCAACAACTTTTCAGTTTCCTTTCCATTTCCAAGAAGAGCCAAGGTTGTTTCCGCGGAGACTAAGGTCACAAGGAGTTCCCTTGTTTGTCGTATTATTATATTTAGCTGCGGAAAAAGACGTCGTGTTTTCAATGAAGATGTCATAAATTAAATAAATCAAAAGTTTAAAGGTAAGCAGCAATTAAGGTGGAATGTACGTCAATTATTGAGTCCTTCCTTGTCACTTATAAAACTAATTTTTACTAAAAAAGTTAGTTCGGCGTATGGAAGAAAAAAGGAAAAACTCGCAGAAACAACAATAAATGCAACAAGGATAAAAAAGATGAAACAGTTTGCGATTCATGAACGAATTTTATTCATATGACAAATTCGTCTTTCGCATTCGTGTTCAAAAATTTTCCTTTTTCCGTGACAACGTACGTTATTGTAATCAGGTATGCTCACGTAAGACTACAGTAAGAGAAATATCAACATTGATTTTTGTTAAAGATGTCGTGAAACTACTGAATTGCTTTTCCGTTTAAGACTACACATGATACCCAAGAAAAGAATCATTCAAACATCACAATCGCGACACTGAAAGACATGTTTACCGCATAGGAACTGCAACAAAGGGTATTAGATGACCCCACTCGAATAGACTAGGGAAAAATTTATCTACTTGCCATTCTGCTCGCTTCGTTTAAATTACAACTGAAGAACAGGAAGTTTTTAAAACAGCCGCAAACAAAAGAATATCCAATGTCGTCATAAATGACCGTCTTTTTTGTGTATTCTGTTTATGCTTAGACTTGAAAGGTGAAGGCTTGGAATGGAGAAACGGGAAGATCCGACAGATACACAATCGAGTGCTTTGTCGGTTTGTTCTTCCATCATAATTTCGTCAATATGGCCCATGACCGTGCTGGCATGACGAATCATCGGCTTGTTTTCTTTTTTCCACCTTAATCTGCAAATAACGTAAATAAAGAATGTTGAAACTGGGTCAAGATAAGAAATACTTCACATCTCAGCCGCATTGTTTCTCTATAATCGAAACTGTCGCTTATAAATTTCCGGGTTTCTTCTGTGGTTGTACCATGTGTGTGAATTTTCTCGAGCCAATAATAATGAATGTTAAACATGGGAATAGGGCTCCTATGTATTTTTCTTTACTGTACACCCTACAAGGACCTAAGCCCAGGTTTGTACGTTGTGGAAAATTCAGTCTAAAATCAATTCACGCTTCTATTTTTTGATTTGTGTCAATCCTTTCAATTGTTCACTAATTATTCACAACATGCTCATTCGTTTTTAATCAAATCTGTCTAGTTTCACGTTTTATCGTCTTGGCAAACTAATAAAGCATTACGTGTTTTTCTTCCAGTAAAAGTAATTTTTCACTTTGCTAGAAAATAAGTCCAAATTTAGTGCCATGACGCCTTTCAAGAACATACTCGAACCTTCAATAATTCAATAATTTTTACGAAACCCATTTTTTTTTAAATTTTCCCCCGTTGCACGATGATACATTCGTTATTGTTTTAAAATCCTCGCACTGAACGAAAAAGGTCTTAAAAGCGCATCCCAGCTGCCAAAATTAACCCGTCCTAACAACAACTAGCTAATCACTAACGAGCGACCGGTGTAGCAAAATATGGATGATAATTAAGTTTTATCAACTAAGTTGATAATAGAGAGCTTAAGCATCAGACGTTTTTGATGTCACGGACGTCAGAATACCGGGGGAGACTGGATCGACAACGGCGTTTTAGGCGCGAAATTTTTTACTTAAGCTGGACACCTGCGTCACCACGAACGTGACAGCTGATCACAGTTGTCACGTTTTTGGTCATTGTTTACAAAGGAAATGTGGCCGTAATTTGCAACATGCCGTATTTAAAGGATGTGAGAAAATCACTTTTAATCGCTCATGACCAAGGAATGGTGTCAGATGAGGAACTGTTGCTATTACTGAAAGAGAATTCGTCAAAAAACCCTGAGTTTTCGTACGAAAAATACGCGAGGTTTAGTATCGAGAGTATCGAGGAACCTGAGTGCAAGTCCGAGTTTAGAGTTGAAAAAAAGGACCTTCCACTGCTGGCTGATGCGCTTCGACTACCGGACACCTTCCACTGTAATCAGAGAACCACTGCCGACAAGTTAGAGGGGCTATGTATTTTGCTCAGGCGAATGTCGTTTCCTTGCCGATATAGCGACATGCTCGCACGATTCGGCCGACCGGTTCCTGAACTTAGCATGATATCAAATACGGTGATGAATTATATTTACGATATACATGGTCACAAACTGTGTCAGTGGAATCATGATCTACTGAATCCACGTGACTTCAACGCCTACACGGATGCTATATCGAATAAAGGGGCTGCACTCCAAAACGTAACGATCTTGCACTGATCCTTTTGTCATTGAATCCTTGAATAACGGATCTTGTAATCCACTTAGCGCCTCTGCGATCGACAGCCATATTTGCGCTCGGTTGCTCGTTTTCTTCTTTGCTTTAAACGGATTCTGCACTCTGACTTCTTTCATTAGTGCTACGTCGTGCTGTTCAGACCATTCCATAGGCCCACTACATAAAAGAAAAAAGATAGAAGCGAGTGTTACTGTAGGTAGTAGCTGTATAAAATAGTCGATCACATTTCAGCACTAAAAATAAAAAGCTTAATGGCGGGGAAATTAATGCACTTTCTTGAACGTGAAATACGGCAACGACATAAACCTCTCGACAAAAAGAAAACAACTAATAACAAAAACAAACACATGGCAAGATAACTTGCTATTATATAAGTATTTTTCCTGTTCTGGAAAAACCCTCTGCTCGTAGGATAACTAAAAGAATGGCGACAAACAAAAAGGAATTCACGATCAAACAAAACCAAGTAACAGAACCTGCGGAAACTTGTGCCAAACACGAAGTTAGGCACATTTTGTCCCATTTTTAAAAGTTATTGTTTAAGTGCAGATAAAAAACTACTTTCTTATGAAACCTACAATGTACTTACGGGTTTGATTTGACGATTGAAAATGAAGACATGGTGTCAGTCTTGTACTGAGACAGTCCGGAAACAGAGCGAAACAACACGCACGGCAAACATCCCACTTTCACGTCTGCGACCTCACGTCAAAAACGTCTGCACATGCGTACTGATTGCGAAGCTCATATTTAAACTTCCGGTTGACGTCCGTGAATCAAAAACGTCCGATGCTTAAGCTCTCTAATGTAAATTGTCGACCGTAAACAGTATCTAAAGTTGACTTTCGGATGTAGCCGTTCGTCTTTCGCACTGTAAAAAGGGCTTACGCTGCTAACGTCTGCTTTAGAAACTGTTTACAGCGGCCACATCTGCATTATCAACTCATTTGAAAAAACCACGTTATTTTGTAATATTCCCCCACCGACGCAGCACCACAGCATTTTTAAAAACTTACTCCCTTTCGGCAAAAACGAGACAACTTGCTCAAGTGCTCCAAATTGGCTCTGCGACAAAATCATTCTGCCTACCTGACAAAAAGGACAATTAATCCCGCAACAATGATGAAAGCCACAGCCCCTAACACTGAACCAATGATAACTTGCTGCCGAGCTTGCACCTTTGTGACCCTTGCTTCCGCTGTCTTCAGTGTAGATCGGCCTTCATCTAAAGTAGACAAAAAATGACAACTGTCAGATTTAACAACCACCTCGTAAAAATTGGTTTTGTTTCATTATTACAATAGCTACTTGGTTTAGAAAACTCTCCTCACCTTTTCAAATTTTCTCGTGCCTAGGGGTCGAATGAGTTGTCACCGAACCCTTGACTCGTTTTCTTTTGTCTTAACAGGCCGTAGTGATTCTCTGGTTAGGGGTTAACGACTCTCAGTCTAAAATTGCTCTCAAAGATCAACAACCCTTCCACTTAAACAAAGTATGAGCATCAAATTTGGTCACGTTCCCCCAATCCTTTGAGGGTGGGGTCCCCGTCCGAAGGGATCAAGGGAGCGTGACCAATGAGAACGAGATTGATGCACGCGGGAAGCAAGTGCACATTGCCAAGCGTGCTCCATTAAAAAATACCTGTGCAATTGTAACCGTCTCCAAAGAATCCACTTTTACACTGGCACACGAAGGATCCGTTCAATTCTGCACAATTTGCGTTTGTGGGACAATTCAAGCTTGACATACAGTTGTCGTAGGGTTTACAGGAATTTCCGTACGCGAAGAAACCTTCGTTGCATTTACATTTATAAGACCCTTGTGTGTTCAGACAGTTCGCGTTTTCACCGCAGTTAGAACTGTCTTGGGTACATTCATTGATGTCACTACAATCCAAGCCGTTTCCTTGATAACCTGGTGAGCAAATACAGCTGTGCGAACCATTTGAGTTTACGCACATAGAATTAATATGACAATTATGTTCTCCGCGTTGACATTCGTTGATATCCGTACAGTCAACACCATTACCTGTATAACCTGATCTACAAGTACATTGGAAAGAACCAGGCGTGTTCATGCAAGTTGCGTTGGAGTGGCATCTATCGATTTTTGTCAGACTGTTGTTGACATCCGTGTAGTTGGATTCATTTCCGGTCAAGCCTGCATCCGTATTCAGCAAGCACTCGTCAACATCTTCACAGTTAGAGCCATTTCCGGTAAATCCTGTTTTACAAGAGCACTTAAAGGATCCTTGATAATTCAAACAGGTCGCATTCGAGTGACACTTATCAGTCTCCAATGCGCATGCGTCAATATTATTACAATTGAATCCATCACCCTCGTATCCTTGGTGGCAACTGCAATTGTAGGATCCAGCGGTGTTAAGGCATGAGGCATGCGCATTACATCTATGTAAGTTTTGCACACACTCATTGATATCAAGACAAGAATTGTCATGAGCGATAAACCCAGCTGAACAGTTACATCTGTAGGAACCAAGAGTATTAATGCAGTTTGCAGACATATTGCACTGGTGAGATGATGACGCACACTCGTCTACATCACTGCAGTTGATTCCATTTCCACTGAATCCTTCGTTACAAGAGCATACTGTGTTATTGATACATGAAGCATTCGGTCGCTCCTCTGCGTCTAAAATAAGGGGAAAAGAAAGATCAGTCTTATCGACGAAGTGGAATCTGTTCGGAAATCTGAATATTGTTCAGCTGTTCTGATTTGTTTTGAATACTTTTTTGTTGAGGAGAGACTCTTTCAAAATTCGCCCTTCGAAACGCGATTTCTCTCCAATTCCATGTGCTACATTCGACGGTTAAGTAATTTGAAAAGATATCCTTTGTAATCTTTGGATGTCGTCATGATATTTGGACGATATCTAGAACAAAGTAAGTAGACCAGGTCACCAAAATACTATTTTGGGGAGAGAGGAGTGAGAGACTACGCTTAGAATTGACTTCAGGGTTTGAATTTACTGACAAGCTTCGTATCAAGAAGATGCAATTTTCGACCGCCATTTCTCATGATGCATTTTTTCCCTTTCGTTCTCTGACTATTTCCCTGTCTTCCTCAAAATGTAGCAACATGCCTTGAAGATGACTGGGGACGTTCTAGTTTTATTTCAACCTACCTGTCTCTATGCTTAAGAACACGACACACGTAATTATTATGATCCAGACACCACAATGCAACCACCTGAAGTAGCGCATAACTTCAAATCAAGATTGAGTGAGTCCCAAAAACCTTCAAACCTTGGGCCATGACTGAGATATTCTACAAAGGAAAAACTAAGTCTTATTGATTTATAGAATAGTTACTGAGACAATATCAATTGGTGCGCGGGTTGTAATAAGAAAAATGTGATAAGACCAACACCAAAATATGCTGAGATGGGAAAACCAAACCGCGGTACGGTATGGTAAAAAAAAGATTGAAGAATGACGAACTAAAAGTATGATGAGCAGCAGAGCTTGGTGGGAGTCGGGCGGTGTGCGCACTGGGATCGCGCTGATTCGTGGGTGAAATTTGAAATCACACCGCCTGGGTGGGAGTCTAGTCTTATAAATTGGCGGGAGGCCTCCTTGACCTTTTTATCCTCCGGAAATTGTGGGTAGTTGCTGTCTTTTGTCATGTTCTCATGTCAAATGCTTTCGAAAAACATGTCACTATCAACTCTCGCAACTGAAGAGGTTAATTCTAATTTTGTAATATTGAATTGTCTGGAGAAGTGTATATCAAAGCCACAAGCCGGAGATTATATCTGCAGTGGTTTTATTTGCAAGGAGGGGAATTCACTTGTGGATCGATATCCACCTGTTCAGCGAGCCATTTGTTACATTACGTTCCACGCCAGCGTTACGTCGAGATGAGGGGGAATCGAATGAAATCAACAATAATTTTATTTACGTTCTATTTTAAGATAGAATTAGTTGGTTATTAATAATAAGTTGATAAAGGTTGGTTAACCGCAGTAGCGAAATTTTGAAAATCTGACTTTTCGCGCAGTTGTTATTCCTTCTTCAGAGCAACTAGATGCCACGGTATATAGTGCCTTTACTGATCATTTAAACAACATATTGAATATACAGAAAGCTTTTCAATTGATCTGTACCCTAGATTGAATTCCATCACTCCTTGCAGGTCCTCACGCACTCGCATCAACTTCCACAACTTTTGTTTCGAATCCCCTTATTTCCGCGTTAAATGTTGCTTTTTCGCGATCCGACGCCAGCAGTTTCTCACTTCCCAGCTTTCTATGTCGCTAGTGTGAGAAGAAACCGGCGAAAAGAAAATGCTGGCTTTACGATTCGTCTTCTTTTGGCACCGACTGATTCTCTCGCCCGTTTCTTTTCACCCACGCACCGGACTAAGTTGGGTAAGGGCGGCTGGTAGTAAATCTATTTCGCGCAATGAACGAGCACGCTCGGTCATTTTCGATCCACATTTGCACAAGATGACAGAGGCATCAAGACTATCGAAAGCTTTCAATAACTGAAGAATAAGAAGTAGAATAAAACCTGCCTATTTGCTTTTAATTGACGCAAAAATCGAGCAGTCTTGGGCTAAAGAGACGTGGATCTATAGCTTCTTTGTTCCATTGTTTTCCTTCACAAATGCATTCGCGGTTGATAGACAGTTATCTCCGTTCAATTGAACACGAATAAGCACCTAGCACTTATCTGCATTCTTGTACCCACAAGACTGAAAATACTAAATTAATACTAACAAGCTTTAAAGGATTGCATAAACGTTTCATTTTAACGAGCGTTACCTGACCTAACGCAGGAACCCAATCGTCACAAACGCTGATGGCATGTGACGCGGACATGATATAGCAAAACACAACGCGATCACAACAAAATGTTACTCTATCGATTACAACCTGACCTCGATTGCCAATTGCATCAGCTCTTAGAGGATATCAGAACTTACCTAGTGATCTATCAGCAGATAAGAAATTTGTTAGGTTGTTTCAGCTAAAATTTAGCCAAACTTGATTTGTGTAATCTTCAAGTGAACACAGGAAGCGCGATCGACGTAATGTTAGCAATAGTAACACGATACTGAAATAATGAAGTTAAGTACTCACTCAGTTAATGGTTAATAGAGTTTCGCAATAACTTTCGAAAGGTTTTTAAAAAACTCTGTCTTTTTTAACCCCGCAGTCAGCGTGACTTTCTCGGAGTTCCCAAATTCTTCTTCAGCTCAATTCCGCCCATCAGTGATCAAGGCCTACTCTGCGAGCAGAGGAGCCTTTGATACCTTATGCAATATCATGTGATAAAAGAAGAAGTTTCAGTAACTTCAGAGCTTCCTTTTTTCTCCAGTGATGTTTAGTGTATGTATGCAGTGGCAGACCTAGGGGAGGGGCACTACACCCCCTTACTTTGGGTAAAAAGGTAAACGCAGGGGGAAGAAAAGCCGGCAGGTGAACACACACAAACAAAAAACGCCTTCCTCCCCCCCGGCCGCCTAAGCTCAAGGTCTGGATCCGCCACTGATATGTATGCTCAATTACCAGCCACTACCTGGGAAATGGATCCCACTCTCTTCCCCCTCTTGAGAGAATGGAACACCGGACATGAATCGAGAATACGGCGAAAATCGAGGCGGGTGCGCATGCGACATTTTCTCTCCTTCATTTTATTGAGACATAGAATCGTAATTTGCACGTTGGATATTCCCCTGTCGGTGAGACTAACCTGAGCATCGCCATCATTCTCCGGAGGCTACAGTTGTAGTGAATATCGACCCTAGACATCGCCAAATTTTTGCCAATCGGAACAAAGACAACTTAGACAGGTAACCCACCCCGAGCGCGGGAAAATGTAAGAACCAATGTGATTGGCTTAAATTTGCATCCGACATGGTACAGCTGCAGTTGTTGAGCCTTGAAGTAAAATTAATGCTTTTGTCAGATTGCCAACTGCCATCAAAACTCGCTCTTATTTCCATTGGATTCCTCGAAGACAAAATCTTACCTCAAGATAGTAATGTAAAATTGAAGCAAGTTCCCCTCGTTTACAAAAACTATATTTTACCCGTGAGATGAGCCATGATAGATTAATGGTAAAACTGTTTCTCAAACTGGGATGCCGGATGTTTGGGAACGGCTTTCTGCGAGAGCTACCATTTTTCCAGCCCTGAGGATCAAAGTGACATGACAAAACTGCACTTCCTATTTATTAATTTTTATAATTTAGTATGTAGTAATTCATACGTTTGACAAAATCATAAAAATATGTTAAATTGCCTCATGCGACCTCAAGATTGACCTAGATTGACGTAATTGTGACGCCATGGACGCAACTGCGTCTGCATGAGTTTATATTTTTGCAGATCAGCAGATTTCCAACTTTAAAGCTTTGTAACCCAAATCTCTTTGTTTACACGTAGCGTACAGGAGAATAGATCCATTGCATATTTTTTCAGTGAAACAGATATCGCCGTGTGTGCAGCGAAGCCACTCAGGTAACTTTCACATCAATTTTTTAAAAAGCCCTTACGGCGATAGACGTCACTCAGTGGTATCGTGTAGAGCGACGAAGGCGGAAAGCTTCTCTGCTTCTCTCCTTCTCTGCCTCTTACAAGCTGTTATAGTAATTTGAAATTTCCGGCGAAGAAGTGAAGGTCGATCATCGTAGATTGGTGTTAATTGCCTTTCAACAGATCTCGCGCGCGGTTTGCTCAAGATCTCCAATAACCGAATGGTTACAAGTATGGTAAGATTAAATTTTAACAACCAATAATTTGTCTCATCTGTCACCTCAGGCTCCCAGCGTCATGACGACTGTTAGGCTACCAACATCAGTGTTTCTGTTCGTACAGATCTTTAGTTGTCATTTGGTGAGTAAAACAGCTGTGATTTTGTATACGGCTAGGTAAACAGTATGATAGCAACAATACTATTTTCAAAGCAATCTAACACCGCTCAAAAGTACGTAATTTTATTCACTTTAGTGACTTTTAAAGTCTTGCTTTCTCGATTGTTCGCGGAGTAACGGAGTTTGACCACCATTTTACATATTGAAGCCCCCAAATTGAAGACGCTGTATTCAAGTAATATATTTTGATGAGATAGACTTGGAATTTCCCATTAGAGAATACTGCGAGAGGGTTAAAATTTTATGCGCGATCGTACGGTTGCAGAGGGGATGAAAATAAATTTTAAGATTATTCTGTGATATCATGCGTAATGTTACAAAAACATGTACTGCTAATCGAAACTTACATGTATTTCGCAAGTTTATAACTTCATTGTGAAGAAATTTAGTGCGTAGGCGTATTGGACATTATTATTTTGGCAGGCATATGAATAATTTTTTTGTTTTTTTCGTGAGACAAATTTTTATCGCGTAACTGCACTTTCCCCATAATAATTTGCTTTTGCAGTGACTAGATATGGCCCCTTTACTTCTCCAAAAAGTCTAATTTAGATTTGATCTTGTGAATCCGCCCAGGGTATGAATTATGCACTGAATAATGTCTTTTCGCTTAGTGCTTTAAGTCTATCAATGTAATTTTCTAACGAGTATTCTCAGAGGACAAGACAATTATTGTTAACCGGTAGGTAATATTAGAGCATTTTTATTGTCTGCCCTCTCTTGTTTATATACATCTAAAAATCAGGGGGGTAGCCAGTTTGAAAATTAGGTTTCTGCAGGTATTGAAATTACATGCACCTTCACTAAGTGACTTTATCAAGGTTAATTATAAATGTACACGTACATGTTACCTCTGAGGATGACCAGCATCGATCCATGCAGTTTCTCCCTAGACTATTGTCCTTGAATTAAACACAAAAAGTTGGGCGAGTAAAAGAAGTTTAACTGATTACCAACCAAATAGGGTTTTGATTAGTAAGAAAAAACTCCCTAGAGAGAGATGTTTATCCATCAAATGTCACAAGTGTGAGACAAAGGAAAAATCCTGTGTCCCCAGAGTTGCACCTCACACCTTAAGTTTCTTTACTCAGATGGTCTACCACTGAGCCACAGAGACTCTGTGGTGAACTAGGCCATCATTTAAGGTTCGCATGTGACATGTGTCCAATGTGTGTAATGAGGATCAAAATGCTGAAAGCATCACAGTTAAATAGAATAAGAAAGATGGTGAATTATAAGCTTGAAAATTAGAGAGAGAAAGGTGTTTTCTTTCATCTTGTCTTGTCTTTAAGATTTCACACTTCCATACCCTATACCACTGATCCACAGAGACCCTATGGTGATCTAAGCCTCCTTGGTGACACTGTTAGAAATTTCCTTGGACCAATTAAGAGAGACTGCACTTAATTTTTGTCAGTCAGAGTGTAGAGGGTGGAGGATGCAATTCTGAACTAATCAGATCACACAGATAATCAACACTACTTTAGCAATTACACAAGCCCTGCATTAAGCAGCACCGTATTAAGTGGTCACCCTAGCCTGTATCAAGCATCAGTTGGCTAAGTCCCAAAATTTTTACTCCATCAGTATGTACTGTAATTTTCACATCTATTAAGTGGACAGTCCTCTATTAAGCAGTGGTGACCACCCTCGGCTATTAGTTCCCATTTCCTGTTTGTATTGTGTTCCACCTATATTGAACGGTCACTTAATGCTCAACTACTAATTAAAAATTAAACTAAAAATAATCTTTTGAGTCAAATTTACTCCTTGTGCATGTTTATCTCTTGGAATCAATGTTATTATTTTCAGTTCAAATAGCCTCAATGCATTGCAGATTATCTTTCTTCCCTGGACTGGTCAGATAAATATTACACATGAATATCATGCAAATCATTTGCTGGTCGACTTGTTTTAAGCAGTCATCGCGTATTTAGTGGTCTGCTGTTTTAATAAGCTTGAGTTGTATTAAGAAGTCAACCTGTTTTAAGCTGTCAACCTGCCATTCCCAATGGGTGACTGGTTAATACAGGTTTGATTGTATGTTTTACTATGTTTTTGCAGGTTGTCTCCACACATGGTTTATGTGGCCCAGATGAGTATCCTATCACTGGCTATCCGGGAGGTAAATGCCTTCATTGTGAAAAATGCCAAGAAGGTCAAGGGCTGGTGCCAAAATGTGGAACTCCTATAGAGTATCAAGTTGACAAGATTGATTGTAAACCTTGTCAACATGGAAAATTTAGTGACAAGTATGACAGTTCTTCTTGCCATGTTTGTCACCACTGTGTTGCAAATGAAAAAGTTACTAAGCAGTGTACCCCCACATCAGACACCATTTGCAATGGAACTTGCGAGAAAGGATTTTATTTTAGCAGAAAGGATGGCACTCACAGTTGTCAGAAATGTTCCCACTGTTGCTTAGATGGTCAAGATGAGGAGGTAGCTGAGTGCAAAGAACAAGGTGACAGTGAATCCAAACAGTATTGTGCCCCTCGACCAGACAAGGATTGTACTCCACCATATATATCGCCATCAACAGGAGGAAAACATGGATCAGATACCTTAAATGATAACAAATCATTACAGACACCCATAATTATTTTAATTGTGGCTGTTGCAATTATAACTATCTTGGCAGGAGTTATATCTTTAGTGACAGTATATCGGTGCAAAAGAAGAAGGAGAACAACTGGGGATTGTCCAAGTAATTGTAAGTTGAGCATTATAATGGTGTGATGAGTGTATAATCACTACAATTTTGAAATTATGTTTGCTTTCCTCTTTCCACTGGTCTAGTAAGTTGAGTGGAAGAATTAATACAAGTAAAGGTTAATCATTAAGTCACCACTGGCTAAAGTGATTTACAAACTAAATTTATCTGTTACTGATCATTCTTCGAACATGCATCAATTATTTAGTCAATCACTCAACAGAAACTGCAGATTGTTGGTTTTGTAAAATACATGTAGCTACATGTTATGTGTTTACTATGATAACTATAAACAGTAGCATTTCGAGAAATCATGGTGCATGTACAGGCAGTTGTGTACTTGGTTGTCAAGCCCTTAAACAGGAGTGAGGCTAGGGGTGGCTATTTTATGATATAAATGTTGCTGCTTTTCAAATGTAAATTGTTTTGTTATCATCCTAAAAAGATACTGGTCTCTATCATGCCAAGGTCACCTTCAGCCTCAGTCCAAATCGAAGGCTAATTGGCAACTATGTTGCACAACTGTAAAATGGCCTATTTAGAAGTGTAGGAGATACAACTTTTTCTGGGTTGTTATAAGTATGCTAACTGTAATCATAATTGTGATTTCTTTTAGTGTCCCACCCTTATGCAATGAATGGTCCTTCAGTAGATTCAGATGTACAACAAGTTACACCACAAGTGCGTCTCAGTGACATACAAGAAGAAACTAGTATGTGGTTTGAAGCTAGCTGTGTAAGAGCTCGATATAACAGTACTGGGAAAAAGTGATGTGAAGAAGCAATCAATCTGAGCACATTTTGCATCCTGCTTTAATCTCCCTAATACTAATCAGTCATGGAAATATGGTGGAAAGGATTTAGTTGATGCATACTGTTTTGTTCTTTCAGATTACTTGTTGTAAGTGTGTTATGACTGAATTTAATAATGAATTTAAAACTTTTTTGTACAGTAACATTACTTAATATGCATACATTAAACAGTTATTGATCACTATTGACTAAGAAATCCAACTTAATTGATAGCATCGCAGGATGTGGTCACTCATGTTACTTCTAGTCAGAATGAAGGAATTCAAAGTGCTCCTTCTGTGCCTCAGTCTGATGTCTCAATTGTGACTATGGTCAATAATAAGCAACACAGAATGAGTGCTGACACAGTTGTTGGTAATGAGGTTAGAATTCCCAAGAGTGACAGTGGTCGAAAGAATCCTTTACAGCGTTCACTCAGCAGGGATTCCCAGAGAAGTGGTAATTATCTAATAATAATAATGATGATGATGATGATGATGATGATAATGATGATAAAAATAATTAGTCTTAATTCAATCAAAGGATAAAAATACATATCCTAAGTTACAATGAAAAAGTATTAATTAATGATACACGATAAAATGCAATAATAATATAAGGTAGAATAATACTTACACTTGATTATAATTATTTAAAAATAAATCTATTTACAAAAGTCTTCTTGAATCTCTCCATTTTTATCTGAGGAAGCTAGGTGACACCTTCTTGTACACAAATTATATACTAATTCTTTTTCTTTGGGAATGATCGCACCTAGCTTATGATTATCAATAGCTCTTTTGAAAACAGATTTATCTTGCTGTTTGAAAAGATTAAAAATGCTGAGTCGGTTTGTGAGGTAAAATGACACCTATGGCACCTGTCTAAAAAATGCTGTAGAACATTTAAATCAGAGTCAGAAGTGCTATACACAGCAAGAGCATAAGTGAGAATGGGAAGAACTAGGATCTTAAATAGCTAGGTGATCAATTTCCTTCTGGCTGAAGATCTAGAGTTCCTTTCGTAGAGTTCTGAGAATGTGAAGGCACTTGTTAGCTTTTGCGCGCTGAATTTACAATTAGGCTGAAAAATCAGATGGAACAATACAAGGCTAGCTATCACATTGAGGAAGATTATTAATGGGAGCGACTACTGATGGCGTGTACCGCTACTTTCATTCTTTCTAAATATCAATTCTTTACACTTACTCAGACTACACAACATCTGATTATTTATACTCCAACTGAGAAACTGATTTACCAGGTCTATTGGCATGTCTAAATCCATCCATACAGGAGCTACAATAGTTGATTCATCAGCATATTTGAAGAGCATAGGCATGTCGTTTATAAAAATCTCCAGGTCATTGATGAAAAGATTAAATAAATATGGACCCCCTGAACTTCCTTATATGGTACCCTTATTGGCACATACCCAGTCACAAGAATGACCATTACCTGAGATGCGCTGTTGTCTGTTACTCAAAAAACTATGATACCAATTAATTAAATATGGGTTTAAAGGTAATTCAGTGTGATGATGTCATAAAGTGTCCTTGCGAGTGTATAAAAACTGCAAGAATGTTTTGATTGATTACTTTTAGGAGTGAAATTGTCTAGGTGACTGTTGATTAAACTTCTAGCTAACTGAGCATGAGGGCCACACTGGGGAGTTGTTGGCATGAGGTTGTGGTGGTATGGACCAAGTGCAGCAAGGTTCGTACAGAAATTATAACATAGGGCCAATATTCCCCAGTATGGCTTGAGCAAGCAAGGTTAGTAAGTAGTTCAATTACATGGCAGGTGGACCAAACTTGTTTATTTTGAATTTGTTAGCTTATTACCATTTCTGTGAATTCTGTCTGTATGGTAAAATCCTTACCAAGTAAGAACCAATCAGAATGCTCAGATTTGCCTCAGGACTGCCTTGCGATATTAAATAATGAAAATGCTTTTTGAAACATCTGAACAGGGCAGAATGATAAATCTTCAAACTTATTGGCCAATTGCTTGCTGGTAACTGGTCTGCTTTTTCTGCCCCATTCACTGCGAAAGGGAAAAAAGCAAACCAGCAGAAAGAGTGAATAAGTTATTCATAAGTCACCCATAGTCCATTCTGTGTGAGGAAAAATTGTGTACTTGGTCTTGAGTAAAGATCGAGACCTTGGGCACAGTTTTTGCCTGTACAGACCTCCTGCCAGGTTAATAACATTTATTTTTCCTCTGAATTTTCATCTTGAACTGCCTATAGGTTGGAGTAAAAATATCTGATTTAAGCATGACCAATTACAAATTTTCATATTTCAGGAGATGATGCTGATAAAGGTGGCTTTAGAAAAAGAAGTTCATCAACATCAAGCTTCTCAGGAACTGTAAATAAAACATTTAGAAAACTATCAACAAGAGGGGAGCAGGTCTTGATAGATAACTTAGAAGAGGTGTGCTGGTTAAAATTCTCAAATTTTATCACTTAATAATTGTGTATTCATACATGTATGAAACAGTTGTAATATTATTGCGGATATGTGGTTAAACTATATGCATGTAAGATGAAGAAAAACAAATTCTATGAGGTAGAAAATAAACTTGGTAAGCTGCTGGTAGTTTTTAGAAATTAATTGACTGAGGTAATAATAACATTGCAAATTCAAATTCACTACATGTTGGTTTATAATTGCTACATGTATTTGAGAGAAATGGGCTACGGGACAATCACACCCTTGTCTTGTCAGTGGTTAGATTGTGTTATTTGCAATTTTTAAATTGGCTTTTGCTACTGATGATACTTTACTTTGCAAGACTTAGCTTAGTTAACATATTTTTGTGAGTGCAGTAGTTTGCATGGGTTCCCCTTTAGTGAATGGCACATTGTGTGCAGTTTATATGTGTATGTGCATGATAATCATAATCTTTGAATATGACATAATTGGATATTTAATAACACAGGATTTAATTAAGAGGAAAATAAAAATATTTGCAGTAATCAGCTGCCATTAAACAGTGAATTTTTAATGAAGAAGTGCGTGTGCTAAGGCTCTTTTTTAAATATCTCTTTCAGAATAGGGATGAAGTAGATGGAATACAAGGTACAATATTATTTGACAATTCAGACAATTACAAAAATCGAGGACTCTCTGATTGTCCTTGATATGCTTTGTGGTAAACAAGAGGCTGTGATTTAATACAACATCCATCTCTTGTAATTGTAATTTTTTTATTTGTACAACTTTTATTAGTTACACTTCCTTCCACCCCCTTGTACAATTTATCTTAAATCAAAAGCTGCTTACCCTTATTCAAAGATTTGAATCTTTGTTGGATTTTATTTTCTATCCCCGCAAGTACATTATTTATTTATTTTTTTAATATGTATTAGTAATAATTTGTTATTAGAGTGTGAATTACATTTTTGAATTGAGATAAGTTATGCACATGCAGTTTGGATTTTTCTCTGGTTTAGGACAAATAATAATCAAACAGGAACCAAAATCTCAAAGTGTGGAAGCAGGTTCAAACGTGCAATTTGAGTGCAAGGCTCAAGATACCCATAGCAGACTGATCTATCAGTGGTTCAAAGATGGAACACCACTTCATTCACGAGCAAAGAATGATGAAGCCATCTTACGACTAAAATCTGTTAAAATGGGTGACTTTGGTTGTTACAAATGTCATGTGAGTAGCATGGACAACCCCAGTGTTTATGTGGAGTCAGACCCAGGAGAACTTGATGTGACTCCAGGTGAAGGAACAAGTAAGTAATTCCGAGCTACCTATTTCAGCAGCTCAGCTTAGTTTAATTAGTGCCAGCAAGTTTTGTTTACTTGGGGGAACTATTTGAGTAAATTAGTAATATATAGTCAAGGTTTGTGAATATACAGTAAAAACCTTTTGTTAGGAGGATTTATAAGTAGTTAATTATACACACATTTAATTTACAGAATTTGATGTTTTTAAAGGAGTTTCCAACCGGGCTGTCAATTCATCACTTTACATATCAGATACACTACTAAGTTAGCGAGTCACATCTAATTATTTTCTTCAAATATCGTTCTTAAATATACGCTTTCGCGATGCTTACCCTCTTTTCAAAGACTTTCTTCTGTTTCTTTATCACTGTCTTAGTTTTAGTTGAAATCTGACCAAGATTTGGCAACGCAAAAAATCTTATGGCACGTTTTTTTGCAGATGTAAAGTTAGATTAAATAAGAGGCTTAATTACCGAGCATTGAGCGCTCGAAGATTGTTTCATGGCAAGAACAATAGGAAAGTTGTAGAAAAAAGAAAGTACTAAGGGTACTGCCTTTCATAAATTGAAATAGTTGTGGGGTAACATGTGAAAGTGTAGTGTAATCGTCCAGGTGAGTGCAGTCCTGAGAAGGACTGTTGTCGGTAGTCATGGTGACTGAAGTTTCGACAACCTGTGCGGAAATCATCATCAGAGTCAAGTGAATAGTTGTTGTCATTAGAATACTGAAATAAGAACATGTTCTTATTTCAGTTCGTGTAAAATGATTGACTAGTTTTGCTATGATGTTATTGGCTGTAAGACTCAAGTGGCGTAAGTCAGTCGTGACTGGTCTATTTCGATTCGTCGGTAAAGTTAGGTGGTTCTGCTCGGCTCGTTTGTAATGTTAATGTTGTGAATGAGTCGTTTGTATGAAGCCGATAGTAGTTAACACCTGTTTAGGGGAGTCTGTTTTAAGTTAGTAAACCAGCTTTCCAGAGTCAGTCGTTGAAAGTAGTTAGTGCCGTAGGTTAGGCATTGCGCAGAGTCCCACTCAATATTGTGGTTCGTAAATCGATGATGTTCAGCAATGTGATTGTTGACATCACTTTTCCTCGTCGCCCGTCTGTGTTCACTGAGTCAGTCTTGTTGCGAGGTTTCTATCAGTCTCTCCAATGTAGAAGGCTTGGCAATCGGAGCAATTGATCTTGTGAATCACTTCCTGTCTGTTCCTCGGTTCGTCCTTGTCTTTAACGTTGGTTAGTAACTGACATAGTGTGGTGATGGGTTTGTGGGCGATGCGGATATTGAAGGGTTGTAAGATGCGCGAGATGTTCTCAGACATGCCTTTTATGTACGGTATGGTTGCTGTAGTCGTAAGAGTTGCAGTGTCGTTTGTTTCGGTGGTAGTAGTAGGTCGGTGAGTGTTTCGTCGGATGAAGTCGTCGCTGTAGTTGTTCTTTGAAAAAAACACGGTAAGGGTATTTGTTCTCGTCGGATAAGCCGTCTGTCGTGTTGCATACTAGTTGTGCGCGTCGTGTTAGAGTTCTGGTAGTTGTGGTTTTGTGCGATCTAGGGCTGTAGGATGACTTGTCTAGTAATCTGTCGATGTGGGTCGGTTTCCTGTATACTTTCGTCTGTAGTGAGTTGTCGTCGCGGCTTACCAGACAGTCTAGAAAAGAAAGTTTGCCATTTTCTTCCACTTCCCTGGTAAACTGTGTGTCAATGTTTTGTCCGTTAAGGTGGTGGTGGAATGCGTCGATTTCGTCTTGTCGTACGGCGGTGAATGTGTCGTCAACGTAGCGTGTCCTATTCAGGACTACACTCACCCGGACGATTACACTACATTTTCACTTGAAATAGTTGATTGGTTGTGAATTTAGTACGGAAGGTGAAAGTTGTTTGCAGGAACAATCGCCTCGAGCGAAGATTCCACTGAAAACCGCCTCGGTTCCCTCGTGAAATATTGTTATTATCATTGTAGTTAATGTAGGATGCAAAGGAAATCCCTTTCTAATCATAAATTCGGCATAAAAATCAGTTTTAAGATATGATCTAGGAACCATAGATATTAATAGTACTGGAAAGCAGTTTTAGGGAATACCCTGCAGAGAAATTAACTTAACCTGAAGCAACTGAACCCCCTACTCGTGGTATCCACATAGAAAATCAAAGATAGTTTCCAAAACGAACTTATTTTCATAATATTATAATATGATAATTATGAAAATAATCTTTATTTTACCTGAATTACCAGATTAATAGGAAGCAATTTTCATCTAGACCTTAATATGAATTTAATAATAACCACTTCATAAGAAGCATTTATAAAATAAGCGAGATACTAAGAGCCCCCAGATTGGTCAGTTGTTTTTTTTACCTTGCGCCAAATTATGATTCAAATTTCGTAGAGTTTCCCAAAAACTTAGGATCTCGGCAACTTTTTTGTCTGTTCATCACTCTTATATACTTTACTTTCTTACTGTAGGATACAAATGTCTTACAGAAGTAAAGCGCCAAGACTTCAACACCTATGAAAGAGTTGGACGCTTATTGAGCCAAAAAAGGCACGGCCTAGGTGGGTGGAAGGAGGTGGCAGTCAAATATGAAATGGACCATCTTGACATTGATGTCTTGAAAGATGATCCAGATGCTGGTAGTAAAACACTGAGTTTCCTTGAGTCGGCCAACCCGGAATTGAAAGTATACGATTTTTGTAAGACACTTAAAGAGTACAACATAAGGCGAAATGACATAGTTCAAATATTATTAGATCACCTGTCAGTTGCTGGGTAAAAGTCTGTTTGCAATTCCTTGCAAATATGAAGTCGGCAAAGCAGTTTGCGGCTTTTTTTTTTAAGAATGTCTGCATGTTAAAAAAGGGGGATGGACCAGTGTTTTCATAAAAATTCTCTAGAAAAACAATCAAAACGACAACAAAAAATTATTTACAAATATGATGGGAGAACAGAGATGGGTAAAGGTTTTTTGGAATAACTTAAAAAGCTTAAAAATATCAACAGCTAAGCATGGATAATGTAGAGGAGATGAAAGAAGAAAAACGAGAAAAGAAGATGGGAAAAAGATGCCAGGCAATGAATAGAGATATTAACTGAAAGATTGAATAATAAAAATTAATTGGTACCCGGTAGAAAGCTATGGAGCATTTGTTTATCCTATATGGATTATTCATCCATTCATACATGAGGGTCAATCTCAATTTCTTTTTTCAATTATTTTACTTAGGGGAACCTGTTTGAGGTTCTCATCTAGATCATTCCAAACTGCTGCAGCAGCTAAGCAAATTTGGAATTTGCCACAATTAGTTCTAAAATTATGAGTATAATAGGTAGATGAATCACTCCATCAGCAAGTCTAGTTTTAGATATATGCTTTGAAGATACATACTGGAAGAAAGGATCCTATGATTCAGGGAGAAGATTGTGAATTGTTTAAATTGTGCATTGTGAATGAACATTAAGCTAATTAGTTTAAAAATTTTAATTTCTTAAAAATTGAATCAAAGTGTGTATCTGGTGTAGGAAAACTGATGATGCGTATGGCCTTTTTTTAAGGGTGCTATGTGTTACAAATATGCTCAGGTCAAACTTGATGTGCTGAAGCAGAGATTTTTCTTTAATAAAATTAAATGTTCAGCTTAGGGTTTCCATTTTTTAGGATTCAGTAAGGATTTTGAAATGTTAGCTGTGCTCAAAGGCTGTAGCTGGCTTACAGCATTAGAAATTTTTAGAATTAAGACTTTTTCTCGAACATTCATGCAATTTAACACTATTTGTATTTGTTTACCAAGGGTATTTACCTCAGTATTTTCTTAATAGTCTGTTTGCATTAAAACACTGAGCTGTTTGCTCGTCGAAATTTATTTAGGTAAACTTTAGAATAAATACTGAATATGTCTCTGAGTAATAGACTCGTGCGATAATTGCTTCGACATGAACTATGATATCGTGGTAATTTGAATATATCAACAAAGTTGAAATGGTAAATTGGCTACCGTTACGATTATAGAAGCTGACGTTTCGAGCGTCAGCGTTAGCCCTTCGTCGGAGCGAATAGAGGAATTAGGGGCTGTGTGTGCTTTTTATCGTGGGTTTCTTGTGAACGTAAGCGACAGGCGGAAAGGCAGGCGGGAAGGCCTGTAGGCGATGACGTCATATCTTTATTCATAAAGCTAGATTAAACATTTAACTCCAATCTCCCCAGCCTACTACGCAAAATTTTGTCCCTAAACTTCCTTTTCTTCTAGAGAATCAATCCGTTTTTGATGACTGTAGGGATACTTTGGAAAGGCGTCTTTTTCTGCGTTCACAACAAATGATCAAATATGAAAAAGTGGCGTCCGCGCAGCCGAGTGTCAAAATTTTTAAGTCGGATTTTCCCTTCCTTTCCGATCAAATTAGACCTGGAGCTGAAAATAAAAAGTAATAAATGCTATAGAATACTCTGTTCGGAAATAATTGCGAGTGACAGAATAAGTTTTGAGCCAACGACACTACGATTTTTTGAAGCAATGGGAATCTGAGACAGTAAAGTGAAAAACCAAACTTCGTACTTCAAGCGAGTCCTAGCGAAAATTAGAGGATTCCAAGGTAAATTTCCGATTCTTGTAAGTATCATGTTTTAGTAATGATATGAAAATTAGTATATGTAAGTAAATGACTCTCTTTCACTGAGCTTGTTCTTTGGAAAATATAAAGACTTGAATCGTTTACTGTGCGTTGTGTTTGCGTTTCTGGACCTTTCCGGTTTTTCCAAAATGTTACTTGGACTTTAGCATAGGCACGCGTTACACTCATGTGTCAATGGTTAAAGCGAATTTTGGGTACCAATCTCTAACTGACAGCATAGTGAGCTTGTTCCCCTTTTGACAAAGCAGCAGACAACGTACGACCAGGCCAGACTCTGAAGTCAACTGTTAACTCGATTTCAACCGTTAACTCTTCTAGAAAATATCAAAGTTAACACTGTTTTATAGATATAGAGCGGCGGGAATTGATGTCTCCATTGTTAAATTTTATATCTGACACTATTTGAGTGGAATTTCTAAAAACTTGTTTTGCCGATTAAGAAAACATGGTTTCGTTTTTTAAACAAGTTCAAATGTGTAGTTGCAATTATGAAAGACAAGTACAATGTTGCTCTTTGTGGGGCAAACTTTTGTTTTGAAATTTGGAATAGGAGCGTATTGTTTGTTTCAAAAACCTCTTGGACGCGTAATTTGTGACGAAGTTGTTTTTCGTGGCAAACCAGGCGTGTTACTTTTCCTCCAACTTTGATTTTTACTTTAAGCAAAGTTCGTATGCGTTTAAGGTGCGAGCCGTCAATGAAATTTCAATCGATTCCAAAAACGAGTAAAAATTGTTTTAGAAAAATTGTCCAGTAGGTGGGAGTTTCGAATGTGGCAGCTGTTAACCTTGTCTTCTCTTCAGATTTCCTTTTCCGACAGAAAAAAAGGCACGAAAAAATTTTTAAAAGGTTGTATCACAACGTAACCAGAAAATTGCTTGGTTACAAAAAAGTAGGGAACACTCGGACTGTAATATTAACCAACACAATTCGTTGAATAATTTATGACTTATGGCGTGGGAGGGGGGTTCTATTTATGTTAAGAGAAGCTGGGTTTAAATAAGTGATGGGTAAAAGCCTACGATTCGATTATGCAAATCAAACTACTTCCGCCTTTTAGTTAACTTGGAGGAAAAAATCGAGGCGAGTCCCATATTTTGGCACACTTCTCGCTCCACGAAAGCTTTTTGACCACGTTAACATTCGAACAGTGACCCTTTTCAAATTATCATTCCGTTAAATTTCCCGCTTAATACGATTCCATTCGTTAGCGAATGACTCGGTTAAACTATTATCACGAGGTATATTTTTTCTCGCCGACGCCGATCAAGATTATTTTCGCGGGTAAGTCATCGAGTCAAGTTGCTTGTGTAAAGTTTTTGATAAGACGTCGTAGCAGAACCCCTTAACTTTATGTGGGATTTGTTATTCGTCCTCGAAACTGTACAGCATTTAACTTTAAAGTGCACCTAAACCCAAAATTTTTTTCGCTTAACGAAATAAGCGTATTTTTTGGAGTATTTCTGTGTAAAAATGTTTTTATTTGCTCAAATCTTCAATTTTCTGTGCCCAGTCAAAATACGGAAAATCGGCCGCCATCTTGCCCCACGACCGAGTTTAAAGAGGAATGGCTCTAGCGGGTAATGTGACGTCAAATCGAGAACACGAAAGTCTGCATTTCACACATTTTCACTTGTTTGGGAAGGTTGTAGTCGATATTGTCCGAAAATATGCCGACTAAGTGTGTTGTAGAAGGATGTAGCAACGTGCGAAATTTGCAAGAGGGTATCGCGCTTCTTACATTCCTCATACAACACACCTAGTCGACACATTTCGGACAATACCGACGACAACCTTCCCAAACATGTGAAAGTGTGTGAAATGCAGACTTTCGTGTTCTCGATTTAACGTCACATTACCCGCTAGAGCCATTTCTCTTTAAACTCGGTCGTGGGGCAAGATGGCGGCCGATTTTCCGTATTTTGACTGGGCACAGAAAATTAAAGATTTGAGCAAAATAAAAAAAATTTTTGCCCGGAAATACTCCAAAAAATAAGCTTATTTCGTTAAGCGAAAAAAAGATTTTGAGTTTAGGTGCACTTTAAGTTCGATGTGTATTCACACTTTCAATTAAATCCAAGACGTTTTTCTAATTTCCCTGGTTGATGGATAGTTATCTCAGATCTTGCATAGTAATCTCCATTATTTTTTAATTTGCTTCCTGTATCAGTAAGTTGTCGCGGTCTCAATGCGATCTCACACCTTCTGGACAAAAAGTCGTCGAAATCGAAATTTGACCTGTTTTCTTTTAATAACGTCTTCCATAAATCTCAATGACCCCTTTGTCGTGGGTGTTTCGAAAATAAAAGAATGTGAGAGAAAACTGCTAGACGATTACGATCACTAGTCAAAGGTTCCTTGAAGCTATCTCATGGTAAAAATATCTAAAATGTTGTTATTCTGCTGTCGGCAAGTCAATCAACTCTTAGGTTTTCGTAATGCTGCAACCCCAACGCTTCGAGCTGGTCGCGTAGAGCTCTCGCCTTCGAATCGAAACAGTCTTTGTAACAGCAAACTTTAATCCTTACGAAATTGACCAACAGCATGCTAATCAGTTTTTTTAGTTTGGGAAAGTATTGTTCCTATTAGAATCCTACAGTAATCATGGGTCACGGACAGAGCGGCAAGAGCAGACAACTGCCTCAAGCACATATAAAAGCGTAAGGCTTTGTAACTCACTGTAGAGAGGTCCAAATTGACTGGACAAATGCCATCAACAAAACGAGCGACGGCCTCATTGCTTAAAAAAATCGTACTGAGCATTTCTTTTTTCTTTTTTTTTTGCGAGAGAAAGGAATTAACATATTCAGCGTCGCAAAATAGTCTGAAAGTGCATGAGGGTTATAGTAGGGAATTTCCGCTCGTCTTACGTTAAGAGGCTATTACCGCTGCTCTTCTTTGTGTATCGATAGACTCGTATTTGTGCCGCATGAGGCAGCCATAAACTAAGCATCTCGCGCTGGTAAATTTAAGACTAACTGAATGCCACATACATTATTTGGATTTGCGCATTTCGCATATTTGAGGCATCAAATTTGTGTTATTGAATTAGAGAAAATTTATCTCATATAAGAGAGGACATGCCCAGACCCAGGCACCTCCCCTTGATGTAACTCAAAATAAAGAAAATTTCATACTTATTAGCAATTAATTTATAATTAGCACTTGCCTTGTGTTTATTTATTTATTTATTTTTTTTTGAGAAGCAGTTTTAAGAAAGAGTACATAATTTTCAAAAACAAGCATAGTTTAATTTTGAGCACAATTAGGAACAAAATCGAGCCATGCTATAGTAGCATATTAAGATAGTTTTACAAGCATGATCTATAAGGGCGTGCTCCAGGCTTGGCTACCGTGAGCGATCGAAGAATATAACCTTTGATACTGTTTAAACAAAAAATAAAAGAGTTGAATTAAACTTTAATTTGTTAGTGGATAGTGCCAGTGTTGTCGTAAGTTTTAAAAAGTTTCCAAGGATTCAAAGAATTTACTGTTTGCTCAAATTTAGCGAATACGTGCTTTAAATTCTTATCTAAAACATTGTCAAAACTGCAGGTCATGACTGATACGCGAAACACTGATCAAAGTTTGTGTATCATTTTAGTGGATCAAGTACAAAGGCATGTCTGATTTTCTCTCAGCACTGGGAACGCTATTGACCCAATTTCAACTTTGGAGTCTGTGACTCAGAACCACACAAAAATCCAAACATTGGGAAGGGGTTGTGTACAACTTGCAAACACGCTATGTCTCCACCAGACTGCCGATCAAACAAAAGGAAATCGAGGAACAGAGTAAGCGAGATTTGTTAACTCGACATATCAATAAAGCTAAAACTTAAACGGTCTATGCTTTGCTTTCACTGAATTTCCTTTCTCCACTTTTAGCACGTCCATTATGGCTCGGGATATTTGGACCAAATGAGATCAGTCGAATATACCAGAAAGAGTCTTGTGTAGAGTCAGGCGACACTAAACGAGATACACTAGTGTTATGACAAAAAAAATCGTAAACAGAAACGAGCGGGTTAAAATTCATAACTGAATTATCCCGTGAGGATTATGGAAAGCAGACAGTAGTTATTGTAAATTAAACAAGAAAGATCTATAAATAAAACAACATTATTCCTCCGGTTATTTGCATTGTAGGAATAAAAACGAAGAAAGAACCGTGAACGCGGAGGACACATTCATTCACATTAGTAAATTAAAAACCAAAGTCATATAGAGATGCAGCATAGCAGCCAAGAATTTCCAGGCGATGAAGGTAAATGTTAGTCACTGACTGAGATTATTCAGTAAAAGTCTCAGAATCAACTGTCTACCAGTGATGTACATAGATGAAAGAATGATAATTGATTGAAGGCTTTGAGAAACGTTTTTCAAATTTCGGAGGCTCATTCACTTTACCATTCTGGTATAAACCTTGATCTAACGATTCTTGGCCTCTTCTGATAACTTTTGGAGAATATCTTATTTCTTAAAATATCTATGGTTTGTTAATCGCTTTCTTGACTTAATTTATCAGTCCTTTTATTGGTTTAATGATTGGTGGTTCTTTGATCGGTCAATCTGTGAGGCGGTTGGTTTGACCAGCTTGTTGACTGCGGTTGGTGGAGTAACAAGATAATTTGATTTTTTATCAGCTGAGTTGATAGCTCTACTGGTTTGCTGATTGGTTGTTGGAATAGCTGATAGGCCAGCTGATTGGCTGGCTACATAAAATGTTAGTCGGTCTGTCTGTTTGCTGAGAGATCGAATGGTTGGTTAGCTGGCTGGCTGGTGACTGGTTGATTGGGTAAATGGTTGGCTAGGTGCTGATTGGTCGGTTGAAATGTTAAGAGACTTGCTCTTTTGCCGGTTTACTGCTTGATTGGCTGAATGGTCGGTGCTTGCTAATTGGATGGTGTGTGATGGGTTGGTTGAGTGTTTGGCTTTCCAGATTGTTCCACTTGTTTAGTTAGCTGGAATGCTGATTGAGTCATGATTGGTGGAGAATGAGTACATTGTCTCAAAGCTGTCTGAACTTTCAGTCCACTCTTAAGAATCAAAAGAGTTCATAAGTATTAAGTGCTATAATTAAAGCCCTCTATAATCACTCTCTTATTCAAATAGTTTACAATCAATTGATCATTGTAATAGAGGTGAACAATGTCGAATAATCGGTCAATTTGATATATATCGCAGGCATCACTTTACAGTTTCAACGAAGTCTGAAGATGAAAACTTGTTTCAGCATAGTTACTCTGGCGTTCATCAGAGCAACTAAAAATCTCCATTTTACTGTAATGTTTCTCTTTCGCTAACATTTAGTTAACGCGGGCAGCCATCTTCAAGATTTCAAGATTAGGTCTTCAGAAATGCATTTAACCCGCGCGAGATGATTATAGAGTATAGACAATTCTGGAAAGATGTAACGAGATCTTCCTGAGTGTACTCATATACTTTTTCCACGCGCAGCACTCACAATGTTCATCAATTATTTGTTGAAATACGGTCATCACTCTTCAGTTTTTCTCTAATGATATTTTCATGATATTAATCTCCCTATCAGCCACAGATTATGAGTCGATTAAACAACGGATCCAACAGAAACCGGAAGCCCCAGTCCAGAGGCACTCCACAGAAGAACTCTTAGAGGAAATTAGTGAGCTCAAAGGTATAGCTATAATCATACATTGGCTGAATTATCATTTAGTAGACATTCGATCTTGTAAAATTTCTCATCGCGGTGTTGAAAGATATGTAGCTTTCCAGAAACAAGGGCAAGATTTGATTCATTATTGATAACGTTCTATCAATTGAGCATACAAGTCTTAAATGTATTGCCATAACTCTTATTCAAGCCTATTTCATAACAACTAATTCATTTCTGTTTTGAGTCATGTAAACATGCGCCGAATTTCAGGATTGTGCTAACGAGCGAGAGAGCGTATGTATACATTTCATTACTTTCAGCCCCGTTCGGGTTTTTGCAATCGAAAATGTATCCCTTGCACGGCTAATTATAATGAATCGAGCTTTTCCAACTTAAGCATCCATGCAGAGGGGACAAGAGGCACTTATGAAGGAGCTGGAAATCATTAGAAAAGAAATGAATGAACTTAAAGGTAAGGAGGCATTGAAAAGTGTAGGTTTTAGAACGCGTTTTCTTTAAATTGCAATGTTTACTGCGTGATTACCTGTCCGTTTAACTGGCTATAGACTTACAACTCTAAGCTTCTTACATTTAAAAGCTAATAGACTTTACTTTTCCTACTCAAGCATCTATGGAGGGGCAAAAGAAGTTACTGATTACCAAGAAGAAAACCTCCAGAGAAGCCAGTACACAGCTTACACCGGATAATAATAGAGGTACCAAAGGGTGAAGCTTCTTGTGAAAGTTCAAGAGAAAAGCCAGTAATGACAAATCCAAGTTAAAATTACACAGATTTAGGCTGAATGCATTGCCATAGACCTTAACTTAGTCATATCTGCTTTTTGTTGTGGTTTGTGATGTTTGTTTTATTCTCTACGGGAGAAACTGAATAGAATTCTAAGGAAATGAAAAACCGTATGCTAACCGGGGTGAGGATTAACCCATAAAAAATAATGAAGTTTGAATCCTGTTTTGGAGCAAATTACTTATAAGATGCTGACGGTAGCGATGATGGTGGGTCAAGGTGAAATGGATGAGCTTTGGCTGTGCTGGGCTTAATCATCGTCACGGATAAGGAAGTCCAATGATGTCAAACTGATCAATTTTCCTAAATGTGGTTGAACCTTTTTCAATTAAGTTTTGAAATAATAGTAGATTGCATTTTTTTCACTGCACTCTGTTTGTGGGTGAAACACAGAACTTCTACCATCTGAGCACTTGAAGCAGTTTGGACGTATTTTCTCTCACTGACAATCCATTGACACTTTGTGATATTTCTCTTTATTGACTATTGTGACTTTTTTGTTTTCAAGACTAAAGAAATTTATTTTCTCGCTACGGTTAAGACGCTATATTTAGAAGAAAATCTTGGACTGTTCTCTTTCGGCAGCAATCTGTTATCTAATTCGCCACACCAAAATGCCGCGTCGGAACTTATTGCAGTCTCAGACTGTCGTCCTACCCAGTAGTAATGGTAGTGTAACAGTTACATATGACTACATATTTTGTGCAGAATTTATTTTCCTTTCTGTTTTTCATTGCTGACATTGCCCTGAAAGAAGGTGATGAAAGGGAAGCATCGAGCCGACCAGTTGCCAAAAGGTTTTCAAGATTTAAAGGTACTGAAAATATGATAACCTTATATATTTGGGAACTAACCGTGATCATGGGTGAGCAATTACTACAAACCGATGTTCGAAATGAAGCAGAAATCCCGGCCAGTCAGCCTCTAAAATCAGCTGTGTTCTGATGAAAGACTACTTAAAACTAAGCAAATATGTTTTGATGAAGTTATTTATTTCCTATTTTTCCAGGCTCTTTGTTATGTAGCAAAGACGATCAAAAACGATGAGGCGCACTTAAAATCAACTCCCGCATTTTTCCCGCCCTTTCTTTTAGTTGTCTCCATTGATCAGAAAAATGAGGAATAATAACATGTAGTTTTATCCGCCTCCTGGTTAACTCAATTGGTAGAGCACCGGACTGTTGTGCGGGAGGTCGAGGGTTTAAGCCCCGGTCGGACCTACACTCAGGGTCTTAAAATAACTGAGCAGAATTGGCTACCTTTCTATAATATCATGAAATGGATAGATATTCTAGTCTTCTCGGATAGGGACGAATAAACCGTAGGCCCCGTCTCCAGCAGGGTTAGGGGTAGGAGACCTTAATTTCCCACGCACGAGATTACTGTGTGGTGGATGTCCTCCTCTGGGGTGGGAGGAGTGGGTTTACTGGGCCCGCAGTGATCGGGGCAAGCTGTTGCGGTGTCCCTGCCTGTCGGCGAATCTAATAAATTAAATTAAATTAAATTTTTTTCTCATTTTATCTTTAAGGTTTCTTTATCTCATCTAAGTCAATACGACTGGGAAAGAGAAAGCATTTATATACTGAAATATCGCCAAAAGAGCCTGGACTTAACAGAGAGGGTGAACCTTCATCATCTGAGGTTCACGGAGTTAGCTCACCTTCTGGAGAAAAAGTCACTTATAACATCTCACAGAAAGAGACCAGAATCAAAAAAGGTTAAATTTTCCCCAGTTAATTCTTTGCCAAAAAATCTTCGAGAATAGTTTGTGCAAAGGCTAGTTATACGCCCATTCATGACATCTGACTTTTTGTGACCACGCTTCACTAAATCCTTTTAATTTTATCAATGCACTGAGTAGCAAGTTCACAAGAACTGAACATAAAGGTATTACAATGCGGCTGTGCAGTAATCTTTACCACCGAGACCTACATTTTTCAGATCTTTTTATTTACATATTCTGGAGAGCTCCTTTAACTAGAAAAAAATCTTCAAGGCTAAATTCGCGCGGGGTCTTCATTTTTATTTGACAAGCACGAAGCATGCGATTGCAACATTTTCATAAGTTTTTTTGTAAAATTAAACATTGAATTACGAAACCTATGTCCTATCGACCTATTGTTAATTCTTTGTTGTTTCCTAAGGAATGATGTTAGGCGGTCCTTCTGGTGATGGCTATCAAGACTATGATCAAGAACATAACAAGATGACAGACAGACAGCATAGTTTAGAATGTGAAGGAGTGCAAGAGGGCAGTTCTGGTAAATGAAATTCTTTGCTTCCTTTATTTTAAGGAAATTTTCCTTGGGCGTGACGAACACTAGTGTTGAATGGTGTACGAAATGTCAACTTTGAAATTTTATATTTTCTTGGAAAAATTTCATTGAGTAATTAATCGGGCACGAAAGATATAAAAATGTTGTTGTGATGTTTCTGAAGGAGTGGTTCAAGTCACCGGTTCCCCTGGTAACCGAACCAGACGATGCCATTCTAAATCCGAAGCCATAACGGAGTATAGTGTGACGACAGATAGTTATCAAAGTTTATCGTATGACGGCGTATCACAGCACAATCCAGGTAACAAAAAATTATGATATGAAAACAATGTTTAAATAAGTTCCTAGGAGAGAATCTTAAGCATTCTATAGACTCGGTCGGATTCAGTTGCAATTGTTTCAGAGAAGCTGAAACTGATTGTTTGACCAGAATTTCAAATAAACTTCGGCAACACTTAATATTTTGATTGGGTTGCAGTCAGTTTAAGAAGTTATCGATATACTTCTGTAACTATTTTTGTGGCCGCCTGTCCATAATGGTGTTCAACCTCGAGCGGATGGCTAATGTTCCAATCCATCAATAACGTGCACAGTTGTTGAGGCCTACATTCTAAACACATCCGTTCGTTAGAGTCGTCAGTCACAAATATAACCCTGAAGGAAATCATGCACTTAAAAACTTAATAAAATCTCTTTAACGTTTTATAGGGTATTTCCTTAACTGTGGAAGTGCACATGGCACAGGAAACTCACGTACGTATTTTTCCAATCAAGTGAGGTGGTTGGAACATGGTAAGGTGAAAAACCGTGACAATAATAAATTGATTGAATGAAAAGCGTTCGTTGACGTCGCGAGAATTAAGAGAACCAATTTGAAAGTTATAATTTCTTTTAGAGTTTATGTGGCTTTCTGTGCTGCTTAGTTGTAGAGAAAAGCCACACACTGCCATACGTTACCAAGAATGATCAGGGAATTAAGGTATCTACGATTGGCAGATCAGGATGCGTCTTTTATTTTTCATTTCTCTCTACGTCACGGTGTTCCCGGATTCGTTTATCAACTCGTCCTCCTGTTTAGCCGAGGTATAACTTTTACCTAAGTTCAAGTTATACAGTAGATAGCATTGGAAAAGGTTAAGGTGACATGATCAGTGATCTTAAACACGAAGGCGCGCTATATAATGAAGTCTTCCCTGGGAAGACCTAGGCTCATTTGTCACTCACCGTTGACGTGTGCGGGTCAAATTTAAATGCTGGTAGACGAACAAAAGGAGCTAATGAGATATCTATTGTTTACTTCCACCAGCATGGTGGCATGAGGTAACGTGCGAGCCAGCTACTTCGATCTCAAAGTACCGCCACAAATAAAGACAGTTTCCCGGGAGAAAGGAAATACAAATCTCAAAAATTCTTGTATTGTGGTGAAGGCATAAAACAATTTTGAGGAATGCGCCCGCTGTTCACTGCTTTGGAGTAGCTGTAGCTCAAGCTGACTTGACTCTAAGAGTTCTACATCACACGACGGTTGATTGACAAATGGTCCAGTAGGACCTAAGGCTCCTTTTATAGCGCGCCTTCGTGTTTAAAGGATCGCTCGAGTTCCGATAGCTTCCCAACGGTATCAACGAAAAGACAAGTTTTTCAGAGTGTGCACACAATCATACAGTCGTTAAATCTAATATTAACCAAACCAAGAAATTTATTGACTGTAAAATCCTTAAACATCGATTCGAAAACGTTCTTCTTAAAAAACCTATTTCTGCCCGAACAGCCACACGGGACAAAGCCACCGCCAGGCAGTTCCCGGATGGTCACAACAACAGTCATCAATGTATAAGCGACCGTAGAGTTCACGTTTGGGGCCGTTGTATTGATTGAAAGCATAGGCGTATCTAGGTAGAATTATGGTACTAATGGTTACATCAGTACCATGCAACTTTTAAGTGCGTCCCCTGACTTGGGCTAAACAAGGGGACGCTCTCGACACTTTGAGACAAAACTTTACAGAATAACAGAGTAAAGAGAGTATAGTTTCTAATTTTGGTGTTATGTAATTAAGTAATTCTTCATACGTTAATCAGTAATATTTATTTTGTTTTGAAGAACCACGAAAAGAGCTATACCCTCTACGTTGGAAAAGTTACCCCCTACTTCGACGTAGCAAGGGAATTCTGGACCCATACAATGTATTGTCATAAGCATAAGCATAGTTGGATCACTGTACAAAATACATTAAAAAATTCTTTGGGCCGGATATATAAACAAAGTTTAGCCGTTGCTCAACAAAGCCGCGTTCTGAGCAATTTTCAATTTAGCCAAGCCTTTTATCTGAACATTTATTTTTGTGAACTGTGTCAACAACAACAACTCATTTCAATTGACATTCCCCTAATGGGGCTTGTTAGTGACAATGCGAGACAACTACATTAAAGAAGTTAAAAGAAGTAGTTTACAATTCAGTTAAAGGGAAGAATGCTATAAATACCAAAATATTTCAAATTAATTATGCACTGAACAAATACCAAGATATAATACCATACCATCATATCGTGCTATTTAAAAATTCGGTAATCAATTTATTTTTTAAGTAGAATTTCAAAGTGAAATTCAAAAGAGGGCGGAAAGCTATCAATGAAAGGACGATATTTAATTGAATCAACCCTTTTAAAGAGAATACCTGAGGCTCACTGTTTGCGTAAACCACGGTTTGGGTTAGACCTCGTTTTAATAGCCGGCCCAAAAGCCTCAGTTCACTAAAAGTCATGTTCTACTACCATTTTATCGTTCTCTCATACCAGGCTTGCTTTCATGACAACGATAAACAAATTTAAATCAATGACAAGGAGCCAAAATAAACAAGGAAACTAGCGACTCAAAAGATCTGTAGGGCACTATGGATGGAGCCATGAACAAATTTTCAAATTGACATACAAAACATTTTTATGCAAATATTGAAGTGAGGAATAGGCCTGAAGCGGGAATTACCAAAGAAAACAATACACGATTACGAAAGACAACACTAAGAAATAAAATGAGCTTAGTTAAAAAATAAAACAAACAAAATGCACAGACACAAACAAAAAAAAATACAATTTGTTAATCGTGTGTAAAAAAGCTGATGCAAAATGCTTGCAATAACTACTGACAACAAAAAAATTTGAACGCCCAGGGATACATTTCTCAGGTACGTAACTGGTTTTACCTTTAGAAATTTTGTGTCGTGACTGATAGGAGAGTCTCAATGGGGCGATGGCTATTATTAAATTTTGGCCAATATAGGCCTATAATGATTATAATTGTCTTTCTGTTGTAACTGAGGAAAAAAAAGATGATTTTAAGCGTAATGGTTAATTTTTACGGCTAACTGTTAAACTCACTGAGACTGTCGGATAGCCTTTACGGTCGGTACTTCAATCTCGGCTGCGTTCATTAAACAATAACAATTATTTCTGCAGAGCGAAATAAAGATCGAGCTACAACCAAAATCCCAAAAACAAGAGGAGGGCTCAGAAGTTATCTTTGAGTTCAAGGTTCGGGAGAAGGAGAAATTCTTTTATCAGTGGTTTAAAGATGGAGCCGAAATGCTGGGAAAGAGCGATGCCACGCTTATCCTTGGTCATGTTGAACTCCATCAATTTGGTTACTACAGATGCCGAGTTTGGTCTCAAGAAAATTTTGAAATCAACTGCGAGTCACAGCGGGCATGGCTGGATGTTGTCCCCAAAGTTCAGGAGGAACAACGTAAGAATCGTGTAAACCTAACTACGCTTAATCCTTTAAGAAAGATAGCCTGTACACTCTTTGTATTATTACAAATCCTCCCGAGAAAAAGATCGGATTAAAGCTGCCCAAAACTGGTCTTTTTAGCGACAAAATCACTGCTCTGCTCATGCAAACGTCCAGTTAAAAATTCACACACGGCACAACAACAACAACAACAACAACAGCAGCAACAATCTTTATTTTGTACTCACTCTTGCTCAGAAAAAGTTACAACAAAGAGAATATTAAAAAGTATAAGTTATAGTACTGGCTGCCTGGAATAACCATAGGGGCTAGCTGAGTCAGGCAGCTAGAACACTATCACACCAGACACACTATCACGTTTTTGTATCATCATTCTGTCTTTTACTTCTAAGGTCTCAAAATGCTTCGAGAGGTTGAAACTTTAACTTGCTATGAAATTGCATCCTGTCTTGATAAACCAGTCCAACGTGGCCTTGGCGGTTATAAGAAGGTGGCCGCTAGATTTGGTATGGACGAGAACATGATTGGAACACTTGGAACCAGGGACTCAGCTGGACAAGAAGTCATCGAGTTTTTGAAGGCAACTGTACCAGACCTATCAGTTTACACACTCTTTAAAGAATTAAAAGGGGACAAAATTAGACGATTTGATATCGCTAAGATCTTAGAGAACCATCTGAAAGTGAAAAGTGAAAGTGACGCTTAATTCAAACTATTAACGCCCACTATTAATTTTGAAAACAGTATTTATATCTTAAACACTGTTTTGAGTTTTTGGTTTCTTTGGGTGCATACATAAAATTTGTCTACATCCGACGTAGTGCGTTACGGCGCCTCTAACAGGTGCGTTTCAAGGACAATAGAAGCCTGGGAAATAAAAGTAATCACTTCATCCGACGTAGTGCAATAAAGCGTCTTTAACAGGTGCGTTTCAAGGACAATTTAAGTCTGGAAAATGAAAGTAATCACCCCATCCGACGAAGTGCATTAGGGCGTCTTTAACAGGTGCGTTTTAAGGACAATGTAAGTCTGGAAAATAAAAGTAATCACTCCATCCGACGTAGTGCATTAGGGCGTCTTTAACAGGTGGGTTTCAAGGACAATTTAAGTCTGGAAAATGAAAGTAATTACTCCATCCGACCTAGTGCGTTAGGGCGCCTTTAACAAGTGCGTTTCAAGGACAATATATGTCTGGAAAATGAAAGTAATCACTCCATCCGACCTAGCGCGTTAGGGCACCTTTAACAGGTGTGTTTCAAGGACGATATATGTCTGGAAAATGAAAGTAATCACTCCATCCGACCTAGCACGTTAAGGCACCTTTAACAGGTGTGTTTCAAGGACAATATATGTCTAGAAAATGAAAGTAATCACTCCATCAGCCAGTCAGAATATTTTTTAGGAGCCAGTGAGAACTCAGGGAAAATTGCTCTCTCACGAACCGTCTATAAGCGTGGAGCGTGGAGCGTGGAGCAACGCGCGCAAGCCAACTCAAGTCATGGTTGTTTTAGGTTTTGAATTTATTGGCTTAGAAAGTAGTTTCAGGCGTTAGTTTATAATAACCATTTTGAGCATCTTGCATTTTTTTAGCTTTGTTTCTCGTTCAGATACAATCTAATGCAATGAAACAATCTATCGTTGTGTTAATGTATCAAAGGCGGTGCTAGAAAAGTTTTAAGTTCTATATTTTAAATGTCCAAAAAGTTTCAACTTCAAATTCTCAAGAGTTGTTAAGAGGGATCCCCGCAACGGGGACGTTCAATAACCGCGGCGGTACACCGTCATTTCAAACATCAACAACAGAAGTGAAAAATACATCAACAATTGATTTAAGTTAATTTAGTGTGTCTCCCGGTTAGCTCAATGGATAGAGCACTGGACTGTTGGGCGGGAGGAGAAGAATATGCTACCTTTCTATAACAGCAAGAAATGGTTAGAAATTCTAGTCTTCTCGGATAGGGACGAATAAGTGGAGGTCCCGTCTCCAGTACCGAGCCGGTTTTTAAATAAGAAGTAGAAATGGAAACGCTTTTACATCTTATTTTGTATGCAAAACACAAAGACTTTGACGTCATGTGTCAAAAACTCAGTCAAGTGTAAAATGAGGCGAGTTAGAGCAAAAAATGATGCGATTTGTGAATAAATCACACGAATTAGAGCTAATTAGGTTACAGTGACCACCAGTGATTTCAAAATGGATGTAATAAATAAGTTGATTAAAAGTACCCTTAAGATCGAACGCCTCCGATAAATCTGCTCCAGTGGCGACACACTGTTCTGTGTTGTCCAAGTTCGGCTCTCAAGTCTTCATTCATTTTAAGGAGAGCCGTAACATAGAGTGACCCTTAAGGAAGTCAGATAATTAATCGATCGCTTAATGCTAATCATAGGAGCCCGCGCTTTCCCTTGCTGTGACGGTTTTAAAAGATGTGATGGGAAAGTGACGTTGTCATGGTAGTAAATTTGTTTCTATTTTAAGCACGGTTGTCCCTTTCACCCGTCTAGCTATGCTTTCACCACTAACTATGCTTTCACAAAAGACGTTTGAAAACTTAAGTGGTGTTTTCCAAGGTTAGAAGGCTGGTCGAATCTTTTATCACTCAGGTAATCCATTCCGTAATTTTGGAAAATTTTATGAAGGAATGGAATTGTGAATTTTAGCGTCGAGAATGCGTGATTTTAAGATTAATAGGCGTGCTTCGACAAATACTCCATCGGTTCTTTTACTATTTTCATCTGTTACTTGCGTTTAACTTGCTAAGTGCTACCATACTAAGTTGATCACGAACAATTCGTAATAATCATCTCTAACCATCAGTTGGCGTGTCGAGCCTTGTGGCTTCTGCGTGTCAATCAGCTGAGTAACGAAAGGTAATTGATTTGTTGCAATCAAATGTTGGGATCAAGACATGCTTCTTTTCGCTCTTCCTCTCTCTCTTTAGGAACCCAACTACACGAGGAACTATTTGAGAAAGGATATGCAAGCGACGTTATCGGTTTGCTTACTGATCGTCGGCGTTTGTTTGCAAGTTTGTAAAATTTAAATATTCTGCATGCCTAGCAGTTTAGTCTGGTAATTTAAGCGTGACCAGCTGGGTAATTAATCAACAGACACCTTAAGGTTTTTATTTTGTACGTTGAGCAAACGTATTCCAACAACCCTCGAGTTTCGAAACGTCACCTTACTAAAACTTTTTCTTTACTTCTTTTTAGACGTTTATGATATTGAACTGTTACACTTGGTTTATTCGAATGAAGTCTGTGAAAGCGGAAAATTACCGTTTGAATTGAAGAAGGAATTAAAGCACAGAACTTAAGGATGGTTGTGTTCAACTAGCTAGGGAGAGGCCTATCCCATCATATCTGTTAATACCAGACACGTTTGATGTAGTTTTACATCGCCTTGAGGTTATAATTGGGGCCAATTTGTTTCCTGAGCCCAGAAAGAAAATTCCCTTAGTCGATGATTTTTGTAATTTCCTTTGATCCTATCATACTTAAAGGGGGAATTAATTAATACAATTATTTTGAAACTCCTTGGGACACCCTGAAAGTAAATGTTATTAATATAGATGTATTATCAGGTTCTCGACTGAGGAGAGGTTCCGGAGCTCGATCTCCATCAAAAAAAGCTTGCATGCGGCCACAGAAGTATCTCTGAAAATTTTTTTTTTTGCTTCTTACCCAACAATGTTTGAATGCACTAAATTCTGGGTAATATTCAATGGTTTTTTAGTTTAAAACCCACAAAATTTGATCACTCTCCATTTACTCTATTAGGGAGATTTCTGTGGAAGTAATGAAATATGCAAGGAAAGGGAATACACTGTTAACAGTGCAGATGGAAACTTTGAAAGGTGTCAGCCTTGTGGAGTCTGCAGTGAGGGTTGGGGGCTACAACCAAAATGTGGAAGCGTTGTTATAAGCCCTGTGAAGGACACCTACTGCCAGCGTTGCCATAAAGGAACATACTCTGACAGTTATGACTCTTCTCCTTGTTATGTGTGTCAACAGTGTGCTAAACATGAGATTATAACAGCATCCTGCACAAGTGATGCAAATACCAAATGCAATGGAACTTGTGAACATGGTTATTACTACAATGCTAAGGATGGATCACATGCATGCCATGAGTGTTCTTATTGTTGTTCTGATGGAAAAAATGAGATACAAGCAGAATGTGTGAGACATGGCCTTGACAAAAGACATTGCAGTCAGCGAACAGATGTCAACTGTGGTCCCACTATAAAAACATCAATTAGCAGCAATACAGGAGGTTTAGGAAAATTTAAGCCAATTTTCATCCTTTATATCGTTATTGATGTACTTGTTGGTGTAATAATTTTACTTGTCGCAGTATTATGTTGGAGAAAAAGAAGAAATAATGGTCAAAATAACCTGCCAGGGGACACCAATACCAGTACTCAGCAGGGTAACCAGCATGAGACCCAACCAATGATTCATATAAGTGGAGGTGCAGACCCTCAGCATGGCAATGGTAATAATTGACAACTTCTTCACGTAAGAATTGTGTGTGTGAATTAGAGTAGAAGACCTTTATTCAAACAGGGAAATACCTTCAGAATGCATGGTATTCTGTTACCAAAAGGAGCCTTATAGTTAATTAAACTAGATACAATTATATAGAAATCTTAAAATACAGTAAAATATAATTATATAAGACTAACTAATTGCACCCTCAGACTACGAGTTTGTAGAAATATACAAATATAAAATTATAAAACTTATTCTTTTTTCCTAAAAAATTATTATAAAAAACTTTTCTTGGTGTTCTCAGTTCTTATTGCAGGGAAGTATATAAAATGGCTTCTTATTTAGTCAAAGTTATGTTGGGATACTAAAGATGTTAAGCTATCATTTCTGCTGTGTCCTAAATAATTCTTTAGTACCATCTCCTCAAAACGCTGATGGGCTTAGTGTGATCCATGAATGATGTATGGCCATCTTAGATGATGTGTGCAGTTTAGTTTGTTAAATTTTCACCTGTTCTATATCTCTCAAATCTTTCTACAAATGTGGGGTTCCTGTGCAACCTGATTCCTCCTTGAAGGGGATGAAAAGTTTCAAACAGCAGGCATTATGTTATATTGATAATGTTCAGCTGTAAGGCTTACCATTGATATATACTTAAACTAGAAGCCTGCATTTATTTAATGTGCCCAATGTTTTCCTTCACAGAAAGTGGAAATAACAATCAGTTAGCACAATCAGCTTCCAGTGGTGCTGCACTTTGCCCTGATTTCTCTAGATTGAATCCTGGTTATGCTTCATCCAATGCTGGAACATCTCATGGGACACCCAAAGGAACACCTCATGTGTCACCCAAAGGAACACCTCATGTGTCACCCAAAGGAACACCTCATGTGTCACCCAAAGGAACACCTCATGTGTCACCCAAAGGAACACTTGATTTATCAAGGCAGCAGGATGGTTCAGGTAACTTCATATTTTATACATTTAAACATATCCAACCTATGTTTCAAACTATGATACCCTGCTTTTGAATGTACTCTAAACACCCAATGCCATATTGCAGAGAACATTACTCTCTCCATAGGTGGCAGAGCAGGGGGAGCAGAGAGGGCTGTAGCCCCTCCTAAGCAAAAATTTGGGGGAGGGTGACACAGCCAAAGATCAAATCTCAAGCTCTTTTCACCGGTCCTTTAGTCAGCGTCACTCTTTTTTGAACCGGTCCGGCATGTGTTCGAGAAGCTTACCGATTGCAGCAATTCTCTATTGAATTAAACAGCGTGTCTAGGAAGTTAGACATGATTTGATTTAGCCTGTGGGCATCCAAAGCGAATGCTACGCTGAAAGATTTTAGTCTGTGCCGGAGTAAATGAAAATAAGTCACAAATTGACTACGGACATTCTCGAAAACTGTAAAGATTGCAAAGAGGTTCGCTTGTGCCAACGAATATTGGAAAATTTCAGTAGGGATATGCACATAGGTGGGAGAAAAATAAGCACCCTCCCACCCCCCCCCCTTCCCTCCACGTTTCAAAACGCTCTGCTGCCTTTGCTCTCCTAAATTTTTTGTATTGTTGACTATAGGGAAGATAATGATAGTCCAGCACCCTACATATCAAAGACAAACAGAAGGATCGTGCGTGGAATTCTCATGTTAATGTGAGGTACAAAGTGGAACGCGAGTTTCCTACCAGTAGTACAAAGATGATCAAGAGCTTGAAGGAAAAACCTCGCATACCCTCGCCTTAAAACCTGTTAGAATGCAAGATTTCGGGTGCTATAGATGCCTGGCAACTCGTTTAGGTGATGCAAGAGTGGAAGGGAAATCAAACCCTGCAGATCTGAACGTTACATCACCTCATGGAAAAAGTGAGAATTATTGTTTTTCCTTTTATTCTATGAAACGTGTTTTAATAAGCCAGCAAGGACCGGGTTGTTTTTGAAAGCTATTATCATGACTCTTTATGAAATGGTGCGCGGGAAATGGGGGGGGGGGGATATTTTAGCAAAGGGGAGAGGGGGAAGAATATCTACCAGATGGTCAAGTCGGCATTCACGCTCTGTTTCACCTTGTGTGGTATGGTATGGTATGGGATGGTATGGTATGGTATGGTATGGTATGGTATGGTAATTTTATTTATACACGGTATTTCCTTCAGGTACACTTACATTTTAAGAAAAGAAAACTAACTACCTAACTAAACTAGAATCTAAGATAAAAAAAACCAAAATAATTTAGATGATAAGAAAACACCTGCTTTTCAAGAAGGCTGTGTGTAAAAGTAACATATCGCTAATTAAATTATTTCACTGAATCGAAATTGAGGTCCCGTAATTTTCCCTTAAATACAATAGGGGATGTCAATTGCCGCACCTCCAGAGGCAAGCTGTTCGATAACACACTTCCGCTATAGGAAAGACTTCTTTTATAAAATTCAGTGCGGAGTTGTGGAACATCGACCTTGTATAAGCAGCCACGTCATCCCTGACTATCTCAATTTCGAGTTTCCCTCCGCCTTTGTGTTCGTCTAATACCGTGACTGCTCCTCTTCCTTTGATAAAAACTCCTCACAAATGAGGACGGGGGGCATGCGAACTTTAAGGCACCGAACATATTTTTTTTTATTATCCCAATAGAACTCAAGACTTTAACAGAGCTCAAACATAATACACAAAATCGACTTGATATTCTTCTTGAGAACTCATGTCGGGCTGTTGATGGATGGAGGGAAATAGCTCATCGAAATGGAATGGATGATGACTCGGTGAAAACTTTGGAGACTAAACATGACCCTGGAAAGCGGGTTATGGAGTTTCTACGGGCATATAAACCGGAATTAACAGTTTGCAGTTTTTGTAAGATGCTCAAAGAAATAAAACGCCTCGACATTGTAAAAGTCTTGGAAGACGAGCTAGTTAGTGACTTAAAGAAATAGGGAAGAATGATCATAGCATCCTAGCATCAAATCTTCTTTTTCTACGTTTACCCCAGTTCGCAGACATGTCAACTCGCCGATAACCTATTTTCTGACACCATTAGTCCTCTCAAAGTCTTTCTCACAGCTTTCAGTGTTGTCCCACTCAACCATCGCTGTTGAAAGGAAACGTTTTACGGTTCGTTGCGCGTGTTAACCACCAACTGTCCCATTATTCTCTTTATTAGTTTTCCACTATGGGTTTTTAAAAACTAATTACAATCAATACTAAATCAAAACTCATGAACTTTAAAACATGTCTCAATCCTAAAAAAAACTACCGAGAAATTCCTTTGAATGTCTCTTGAAGGTTGGCAAATTGACACATTCTTTTACTTCACGTGTGAGAGAATTCCAGAAACTCGTTGCACGATATAAAAATGTGCGTTGTCCTGAAGCTGACTTATAAGCTGGGATATTCAAGTTATGCTTATATCTGGTATTACAATCATGAACGCAAGCACGTGTCTTAAATCTATGACAAAGGTTGCTGGGGGCTAACCCCTTGACACATTTCAATGCTAAAACTCCAAGTGTGTATTTAAGAAAACTGGATACGGGGAGCCACCTTAGCTCTCTTAATAGCGGTGTTATATGATCAAATTTCCGCTTTCCAGTGATAATTCTTCAAGCGAGATTCTGAACTTTCTGCAACTTCGAAATATTTTTCATTGAAGTATTAGACCAAACCGCAGAAGAGTAATATAGCTTACTAAACACTAAAGCATTTATAACCCATTTAGTGTCTTAGCATCAAACAGATGCTTCACCTTATTAATCTGACATAAGCTACCTATGCGCGAAGATACTGTTTGGGTAACATGTTCATCATAGCTTAGAGTACTGTCTATCTGCAAGCCAAGATCCCCAGCAGAAGGAGATGGAGTGACCTTCTTTCCAAGAAGGGTGACATGAAAATCAGCGGGCAGCCTCTGAAGCATCTGACGTGTGCCCAACACCAGCAGCTTGGTTTTCTCTGGATTTATGAGAAGGCTGTTGTAACAACACCATCTTGCAATTTTTTCTAAGTCCTTGTTGATCTGTTGAGTCATAATGCTAGCTTTAGCAACTGGGAATGAAAGATATAACTTCGGATCATCAACATATGACTTTAGAGAACACACGTCCGGTATAGAAGGAATGTTATTGAGGTAGATAGTAAACAGGGTGGGTCCCAAGATTGAACCCTGTGGGACACCATGTGAGATAGCTCGCAAGCTTGAGGTCTCAGCGCCAATCCTGACACATTGCAGCCGTTCAGAAAGGTAGCTTTTGAACCAATCCGAGGATGCGCGAGAAACACCTAGCGCCTGTAGTTTTGCAAGGAGGATTGCATGATCTACACTATCAAATGCCTTAGAAAATTCCAAAAGTACCACAAGTGTGACTTTCTTTGCATCCATAGCCTCCAGTGCCTTATCCGTGATCATGACATTAAGGGTTTCACACGAATGAAGTTTTTTGTTACTAAGGCGCTTTTTGATGGTCATATATGTCATTAACTGATTCAGAGCGACACGTTCACAAATCTTTGACGCAGCAGGAAGTAACGAGACTGGTCGATTGTTATTTGGTATCTCATGATCTCCATCTTTCGGAAGTGAAACAACTTCAGATATTTTCCACGCTGTAGAAAAAACTGACGACAATAATAAAGATCGATTCACAATGTCCGTCAATACAGGAAGAATACAAGGTGGCGCATCTTTAATCACAGACATGGTAACTTTATCAAACCCCAGGGCTTTATCAGACGAAAACGACATTACGGCTCTAAAAATCTCATGCCTAGAAACAGCGCGTAGAAACAGTGCCTAGAAACAGTGTTAGATTGAAAGTAATAGCCAAAATCTAACTCTCTACCATGTAGCTCTTGGAATAGATATGGCCCTTAGAAAGGAAATGTTGTCTCCACATTCTTCGGAGTTCCGACAGTGTGCTTACCGACCCTTACCATTAAAAGTTGAAATCTCAGATTACGTATCATAACTAAACTATCTGTTTTTTCCTAACATTCCTTCTTGAAGTTGTAGCTATCGTGGGCTCCTGCTCTGTCGCCGAAATTTTCTCGTAGAAACCACGAAAGCAGTCTGAAATTAAGATCCTGAAAAGCTAAAGGCCAAGAATTGATTTCGAGTTGCCCGAGCCCTGAAAGGGCGAGAAAAATACCAGCAACGAGTAAAATGTCCGCTCGTATTTTATGACAAACCATTGAATAAGGGATTTACTACTCCACTATTAATTCACTTTTCAGTATTTTTATTTTAGTTGCCGGCGAGATATGACCTACGTCCTTATCTGTGCATCGTATCGATTGCACGAGGAGCACGCAAATGAGTTGGGAAATTGCGACACCGACTGACAGGGTTACTCGTACCCGGCAGACCGGGTAACCCGCCTTGGTGGTTACCCCATCTCTCTTGATCACTTTTACATCTTGTAAACGTGATCAAGATAAAACTGAAGAGATTTTATGGGCAGACGGGTTACCTCACCCAGGCGGGGTACCTTCACCTCCCTGGGGTACCCGCCTCCATGTAAACAGGCCCAAGCTAAATATGTTTATCGAGGCATTGGCACTTATAAATCACCTTTAACCAACAAAAAAGTTAACGTCATTGAGAATATGAGCTTATTTCTTTCCTGAGAACATCTACTCAAATTACTGTTAAGAAATGTTCATGGCATACCCAAGTTATGACGAATCATTTTTGGGACTGCTGCTATCCCTTACTGCCGCATGACAGGACAGAAAATGCGTGCACTTTAAGTACCTCCCGTTGTCCCACACTAAGCTTTAGAAAATTTTTCTAAGCCTTTGTATGGGACAACGAGAGGTACTTACAGTGCACGCGTTTTCCGTCATGCCTTAAGGTCGTTTCGCCTTTGAGTGATCTCGGTTTCGCTAAGGACCAGATCGAAACGTCTCAAGTCCCTCCGCTAAAGGCAAAATAGGTCATTGTTTAAGTCACTCACAAACATTCCCATTCCCGTCTCGATTAAGCAATTAAAGCACTAGAAAGACGCTTAACCTACGTGAAGTTTAATGATTCCGTCACCTGTAACGACGTGAACAAAGCTATCTATTGATCCCTTATTGGCAGGAAAAATTTCAGACACGCACCACCCATTTTTCGATCGGCAGAGCTTTCTCGACCGTGGTTCATTTGCAAATTACTTTAAAGCTTGTGGCTGATTGGGTCGTTGGTTTTTTATTGTTGTTTGATTGACGAAGTTTACAGCTGAAAAAAGAATATCCTTAAGGGTCTTCCTTCCTGTTCATTAGAATGATCTGACTGAAATGACTGACAAAAACAGAGCCAACTGCTTATTATTAAAAACTGGATCATTGGATAATGCAATTCAAGACTTTTTATTGGCTTAGCCATTATGGTATATCAGCCAATATACCATAATCTACAAATATGGTAAGCGTACGCGTCAGCTTAAAATCAAAAGGGAGCTAAAAAATTCAGTTTCTTCTTACAAAATAATAATTTCTTGAGGGCGTTTTTAATAAAACAATTATTCCACTCGCGCTTGTTGGATATGAGATGATTATAGCCAACTCGGCGCTACGCGCCTCGTTGGCTATCTATCATCTCATATCCAACGCGCGCTCGTGGAATAATTGTTAATTGTAGTTTAATTACCCGTATAAATTTTAGATAACGATCCTTTGTCTACGACTAAGTCATCTGAAGGTTTTCAAAATACTTAACCGACTTCCCTTCGAATCCACCGTTCCCACGTCCATTTTCGATCACCTTTACCTTTATGATCACGGTGTACCATTGTACGCTTTGACTTTTGACTTTGATTTTGCTGTAGCCATTGGCAAGATAAACACGCTCTGCACATGGTACTAATGACGAAGGAATTCGAGGTACAGAAATGTTCCCGTTCCCGTTCCCGTGACGAAAACGTACAAAAGATGCTGCGAGAGATGTCCTGTGGACAGAGTGACAAGATGTTGTAGATCTAGAAACATTAGTCACCTTTTGAACACGTCATATTTGGTCATGCCTCAGCGAAGTTCAAGTGTTTTTCCGCAGTGGACGCACATTTGGTAAGCTTGCACTCGTTTAGTTTGTTTGGTTGTAATCCCCACTGTTATTTCGCGATTCTTTCTCGTAATATCACTAAAGTTTTAACTCTTAGATGTGTTTGTTGGTGAAAGCTTACATAACGAACGAAAGCAAACTGTAATATAAACGGACTGTTGCTTCTCAGTTGCGATCGACTTTGACAGCCAAGAGCCTTCGGAATAATGTATTACAAATGCATTTCGTTTAGACAAATTGTGGCTCGTAAACCTGGCTACCATCAAGATTGAAAGAAATTGAGCAAACCGATGTCACAGCGAAGAAATGGCTCACATATTTACGTAGAAGAACCTATTTCCTCGTGGAGAGATTGAGAGCATCAAAAAATATTGGTGAGTGTTTCATTGTTTGATACTAGTTAAAAGAACTCTCCCAATGATTCAATGTCTCGACAACAGCTTATTGTGCGAAGATGTTTAATAAACGCTCAGCAAGCTTCGTATTCATCGAACAAATTTTTAGCAGTTCACGAATAAAATTATTTGCGGTTCAAAGGATATTTGACTAAAACTGATGGCCAGAACTTCTTTATAGTTCAGAATTTCATCACACAGGCATTTCAAAACCAAATTTTTCAGTTCTTTAGGAATCTAATCCTAGAGATTTCACGGGATAATGCATTAGATATATAGTTAATTCATAATACTGAAACCCATCTCACCCAGCGGGATTCTTAATTTTATGATATGTAAGCATGTTTTAACAAGTTTGTGCGGTTTAGGGCGTAATCAATGATAATCACGTTATTGACCAAACAGGAGGTCGAGATGGCTGGATATTGGCCGAGTCCGAGACGAAGTCGAGGTCCATAAAACGCTAAAAAAAGAACGAGGCTAATATCCAGCCATCTTGACCGAATAAGCTTGGTCAATAAAGGATTTACTATAAAGCAAAAGGATCTCGCTTTGATAAGAATCAAGAATGACTTGTCTAATTCGAGAGCTGGGAAAGAAAGCTCACTGTTTCCCGAGCGGGCGAGATGGCCAATCAGAACACAGGATTCGTTTCCTCTTGCCCACGCGTTCTGCGAGCTATCTAATCAGAAGATTTGTCTTTGTCTTGTTCTTTTGTGAGCACAAGCACTGATCTCTGACGGAGAAGAAAGGTATCCATAGACATCATGCTGAAACTCCAGTCTGATGGCCTGATGGCCGGTGTAGTTCTCTTTAGAGAGAAAAAGGTTGCAAGAAATTCGTGGTTAATCTTCAGATACAGAAGTTTTTATTTAGTTAAATGCTATGTGAACGTCAGCATTGAACGATATTACCTTTGATGGGTTACACGAGAAAAAAAGGAATTGAATTAAAGTGCATAAGTGGAAAGCGTTCGCGAGAGGGTCAAAGAGTTCATTGCTGTCATTCTTATCATGATTTACGATCGATGTAAATGCATTTTTGTGGGAACCCGCATAGCAAAGGTCTGTCAGACTGCATGATTTATTATCTGAATACATTTTTGTGGGAACCCGCATGTTAATCACCAACTCCAGATTTTCTCGTAGCACAAGGCAAATTTGACTCCAAGTAAACGTCATCAATAATTTTACTATTGCTGACAAGGGTTGTGCAAAAGATGTACATGGAGTTGCCAGACTTGATTCTACTATCATGCTAGGTTCAACTCAAACGATATTGTCACTGAGAGAAAGAAAATAAAAGTATCATCTCTTACTCTAAAATTAAAAAAAAGCAGGAGACAAATAACAAATTTGTCAGTAAAACACAGTATACTAATACTTGACTTCTTCGACATGAGTGAATTTGAAGAAGAGGGTAGACATTGGAAATTTTACGACAAACATGAGTTAAGAGGACAAATGTACTAACCTCATTAAAAACTCTGTAGTATTTGCATTTTAGGAATAAAACCTAAGTATTCATTGCCTAAAGATCGGTGAGCAAGAAGGAAATGCTCATTTTCTGTAGAGAACCATAAACAGAGGCCATAAAGAGATGCAGAATAGCAGAGTGTCTCTGGGCGATGAAGGTAATTTCCAAATGTAGGAAAATTATCTACTTTACTATTCGTATTACCTGACAGCTTAGTCTTCTGATTAAACCCAAATTCTCTGGATGGCTTCTTCAGATAACTTTGTGATGGAATATTTGTAATTTGTTTTTCTTATTTCATGGAAGGTTTGTTTGATGGTTGATTTGTTGTCTCGGTCGTTTCGCGGTCCTTTGTTTACTTTGATGGTCAGTATAAAGATGATTGGTCGCTCAAGCCACTTGGTTGATTAAACTTATTGGTTGACGGGATAGTTAGCTTGAATTGGTCAGCCGGTTGGCTGGCTATTTGGTTGGTTCTTTGTTTGCATGGTGGCGAGTCTTTTGGTAGGTTGTTTAGCTCTTTTGTTGAGTTTTTTTGACGGGACGATTAGCTGGTTGGTTAGTTGTTTGGCTGGTTGATTGCCTAGTGAACAATCATATAAATATCATATTTCTGTTTGTATATAAATGTACTATGTAGTTCTTTTTTTCATATTTTCCTCCAATTAAGATTGTGCGGAGAGGAATAATGTTGATCTCAGAAGAGTGACGGAGGTTTCTGTTGGAGCCCATCAAATGCTTTATTCTGAAATGGGACACCTCGGTGAGAACTGAATTATACACAGTGAAGTCATCGATGGTCTGAATCTAGCTACAGAAGTTAAAACATTAGCGGGCTTTCTTTGAATTGCAATTTACTGAAACTTCTCTACCCACAATTACAGAGACTCTTCATAAAAAGCTTGAAACTTCCCGAGAACACGCAAAGAAGCTCTTACAAGGGATGGATGAAGTGAGAGGTAAGGTAACACCGCCATGGTGTATCCCAAGGCTCAATTCTAGGCCCCTTGCTTTTTATTGCCTACGTCAACGACCTTCCACTACATGTGAGTTCTGCTGAAATTGATCTCTATGCCGATGACACGATATTGATTTCTGCTGCTCATTTTGAAAATATTGATAACTTACAAAGTTCACTGACCACAGCGATCTCCGAGGTCAACCAATGGGCAACAGCCAATAAACTTCCTCTCAATGAGAACAAGACAAAAGTGCTTACCATCACTGGTAAGCGACTCTCAACCAGAATTGAACATGATCTTGAGGTTCTTATTAATGGAAAGCAACTTGAAAATATGCAATTTGCAAAACTTTTGGAACTGGAGATAGATTAAGAATTAACATTTATTCCTCATATTGATAAATTATGCAAGAAATTATCGCAGAGAATAGGTATTTTGAAGAAGATCAAATACTGCTTACCACTAAAACATCGCCTTCTATTTTATAATGCTATGATGAGACCAGTAATGGATTATGTAAATGTTGTTTGGTCCAGCTATGACAAACATTGCCTTAACCGTGTCTTAAAGCTGCAGAAAAGGGCTGCTAGGATTATTTTAGATGCTGATTCTCGATCCTCCTCTGCAAAGTTATTTAACAAACTTAAATGGTTACCTTTTTATGAACAGGCCAAGATAGCAAAATGCTCCATTGTATATAAACGGTTACAAGGAAATGTACCTGCTTACTTAAAAACTTTGCTGAAACTTTCTAGTGAAACTCACTCACGAGAAACCAGAGATGCAAATTTTAATTTAGCTTGTCAGATCGTTAAACGTCAAAAGGAAGGAGGAAGAACTTTCACAGCGACAGCATGTAAAACGTGGAACACCCTGCCACTATCGACTTGAAAACTGGCCACCTTAAGTAGTTTTAAAACATCACTCTGGAAGAGCATTTTCAATGACCAACAGGTTTTAAATCATTTTACTCTGTAATTTTCATAGCTCATTTTTATGTAGTTAAGCCATAGTTTTTAATATCTCTAATATTTTTATTGTATTTTTAGCGCTAGGAGGGCCACTGGTTTATTAGTATTCCTTACTATTTTAGTGCTACCCTCATTAAATCGAGCCTTTACTTACTTACTTACTTACTCAAATGGTTACATCTTTTTGTAGGCGCGCCGTTAATATGGGAAGTCTATCGTCTTATTATCTGCTTATTAAAACTTGGGAGTGGTACGCAAGACTTTGGTATTTTTTCATAATTCCCATGCAATCTCAGTTCTTTGAAAAAATATACTGCTTTTTTTAATCAAGAATTAACGGAGAGGGAACATGATTTAATGACGAGGGAGCTGCACACCTCCACAGAAGCCCGGGAAAAGGTCTCAGAGATGATAAGTGAACTTAGAGGTAAGAAGGCAATGAAACGCTCAGTTTTTCTGTAAGCGACGAGAAGGAAATGAAACGTTCAGTTTTTTTTTTTTTAGTGTTTCTTTTTATTTCCGATTATTATTTTAAGATATTCTGCCTACAAGAACAATTGAGTCTTCAGTTTGTAATAACTCTCATTTAAGCCAGGTCCTTTACAACAAACCAATCGTTCCTTTTTTAACTTAAGCATCCGCCAAGGAAGAAAGAGAGTCAGTGATGAAAGAGCTGGAATCATGCAGAGAAGCCAGAAAACAACTTTCACAAGAGATGATTGAACTTAGAGGTAGGGCGGAGACATTGGAACTTTCACCTTTTTTGTAAGCGTGTCCATTGATTGATTTACGATATTACTGTCAATTATGATCATTCGCCTATAAAAATTATTTAAGTCTTAAATGTATTGTCATAATTCCTTGTCGGGACACCTTCGTTATGGTTCTGTTGCTCTTTCAACTCCAGCATCCATGGAAAGGGAGAAGGAGTTATTGACGAGAAAGCGGAAAGTCTACAAGGAAGCCGGAAAACTGGGGATGAGTGAACGTGCAGGTAAGGATGCAATGAAAGCTACAATCTTGTGTAAGTATTTGAACCTGATTCTGGCTTGTTTCTCGCCTTGCCTTGTTTGTAAACGCCGGAAAAAATACACGGTACCGGCCATCTTAATACACTGTTTCGCCGTATATCTTGCTTTCTTTTAAGATTTTGTAGTTTTTCTTTCTACGAATTTAACTTTGATGCTTTCTCTAACTAAAGAGAAAAAATATATTGAAAATCTTTGTGGGGAATTAGTGAGGAACCCACACTGTCACTGTTCTCTTCCAGAATTTATTTCTCGAAAAAGCAGGCAGAGCAACGTTAGGCGAAGTCTCTGGCCGACTAAAAACTACTCACAATGATTTTCTCATCTCATGAACACACCTTGATCAAACCGTAAGTTGATTGGCTATAAAGTTCCTCCCAACAAAGATAAACAAACTGATTTATCGGAGCGGACAGATCGTGACACTCGATTTCCGGCAGATAATTTTGAATGGTTACAATACAAATTATCCTGTTTCCGACATTTTCATCACATTTCATTGACAGTAACCTTGAAGGTGCGTCATTCAGCCTTGCACCCTTTTTTTAAATGACCATAGGAAGATTTTGCATCATTCTTTGCAGGAACTGATCTGTTATCTACGCCATAGGAACGAAGGTGCCAAGTCACAGGGCTAATTACCACCGCTTCTAGCCATTGATAATGATTGGCTTGGTAATTAAAGAATGCCAAAAGGTTTCTTTTCTCTGTAAAATAATTATTATTCAGGAATCTGGAAATCTACAAATATAAATCTTATTTTTTTCTGTTCCGTCCTTTTAGCTGCATCACCATCAAATGAATCTGATGAAACGGATGCTTCCAGCCCGACGCTTTTAAGAAAATTTACAGGTATCATTTTTAGAAGCAACCTCGTCAAACAACTTTGGTCTATGTCCGTTAGTGGACAAGATATGTTAGTTGGTGGACACGATATGTCAGTTAGTGGACACGATCAGCAAGGGATGGGCAAACGAAAAATCAACCACCGCCTTTTCCCGCCCCCTCTTTTAGTTGTCTCTATTGACCAAAATCGGGACCTGGTTACATAAAGCTGAGCCAGAAAAAAGGGAAACGACAACTTTTTTTTTCTTTTCTTGTAGGACTCTTTGTTTCATCCAAGTCGACAAGATTGCGAAAGCATTCACAACAAAAAACTCAACAGAAAGAGTTTGACGTAACCACAGAAGGTATTTGTTTTATTACTTGGGAATCAGAAAATATCTGAATGCATACTTCCTTTAGTTTTATTCTTTTTTCGTTTCCTTTTAACCCAACGAATATTTCGAAGAAGGGGAAATGTATACACGAGCCGAATGTTTAGCCCTGCCTTCCTTTCTAATTCAAAGACGCATTAGTTATGCAACACCGGGCGTGGTTTGCTATTCGGGGCTCAATCCTGCTGTAATCGGAGTCATCCTTTGGTAACATCCGTGAAAACATGACAACATTTTGCATAATGATGGTATTGCAAAAGGTAAATATGTCTCTCCAATTGTTACAAAGGTCGTTAATTTGAACTTTTAGCGCCCCGGCGGGGACTAAATTCTCTTACTGAACCATCTTCTTTTGGTTTGGGTCTGCTTTCTACTGCTCGAAAACCAAAGGTCGTGTATCTGAATGTGGGTCAAGCGAACACGCGTGCGAACGAGCGAGGAGGGTGCGTTTACCTGATTATACCTAAAATCCTTAATCCTTATTTCTGTTTCTGCTTGTGAAAACGTATCCCTTGAAATGCTTTCTTGCTAAGCTAATAAATCAGGCCGGTTTATTCAACTTAAGCATCGACCGAGAGGAAAAAAGAATCACTTGACAAAGAAAAGGACAACTCCGGAGAGGCGGAAAAACAGCTTTCAGAGGAGCTGAATGATTCAAGAGGTAAGCGGGTACTGAAACGTTTATCTTTGTGCAAGCATTTCTTTTGATTTACGGTCGAAATTGAGTCAAAGAATATCTGTCCATAAAAATCGGTAATGGTATTCAAGTGTTTAATCTATTGTCATAACCCTCAATCAAGACACCCTCATCATAGCAAAAAAAATGCATCCAAGGTGAGGGGAAAAGAGTTAATAACAATTGGGCTCAAAACCTTCTTTTGAGAGACTATTACTTTTAATAATGGCCCGTTACTATCATGATCCGTGAGTCCATTGACCGATGGTCGAAAAACCTAATCACAACAGTTCTAGGTTAAATCCCGTGGCTTTAAATTAAATACATTGCCGTAGCTCTCAATCGTACTGGTGAACCTGTATTAAGTGGCACCGTATTAAGCGGTCACGGCTCCTTTGTTCCGCCTTAATCACTGTAATTTCTTGGGGTCACCCTTTACTAAGCCCCAAAGGCTCATTTGTATCGTCTTCCACCTAGTTATTACAATACAGATTAGGGTATTATTAAAAACGATACAGAGATCTTGATTTTTGTTTTGTTTAAAGATCATTTCAAGGGACTAATGGAAGACCATGAAAGCGTCAAGGAAACGGAAAACCTTGGAGGTAGACATTAAATAACATAGGACTATGTCGGTCCGAACATGTTTGACAGCAACTTGCTTTAAACTACACAACAATAATAAGACAACTGAGTGGAATGTAATGGGCAAAGGCTACAAAGAGAAGGCTCATCGTCAGTGAAGGACATCAATATGATGTCAAACGCGATTTTTGCAAGTGTGAGAAGGGATTTTTCCATTAATAAATAGTATAATTACCAAATTGAATTGGTTTTGTTTCGCTACACTTTATGATTTATCTTAGGAACCTCTAATCATAATGTCCTCCAAGAAACGAAACCAAAAGAAGAATCATTTGAGCACTTGATGCTTTCTTTACAAGCCCCTCAAATTTTTCTGAATCAGTTCCCTTTTGTCAATATGATTGCTCTGGTCTTGGTCTCACGACTAAGGAAACTTGGTTGTTTGTTATGAGGTGTGTCTATTCGCCTTGCAATTCTGTTAAAATGACCGAAACGATAAGAAAATCTTGTATCGTTCTCTTCTGTCATCTGAATCGCAACACTGAGATGCCTCGCTACAGAACTAATTGCAGTCTACGCCGTCCATTTTAGCGATGTCTACACTGGTTTTATGATGATATAACGCCAAATTTGTTGTTTGTGCAAGCTATAAAAAAAACCTTTTTTTTTAAAAGACCAAGCACCAATTCGTTAAGTTCGTAATTCGGGAGTGCTTAAATGTTGCTCTTCCCCGAAGCACAAATAAGTGTTCAGGATATCAGGAAATCTTCGGCTGACTATTTTTGTTTCTTTTCTTTTTGTCTTAGCTACGTCGCCATCAAATGAATGTGTTGAGCTGGATGCATCAAGGTCAACGCTTTTCAAAAAGTTTAAAGGTATCATTTCCAGAACTGAGCAACTTTTCCAATGACGTTCGAAAATACTGCGCGAAGAGGTAGCAGAGTAGTGACTTAGGTCACTTGAGCCTTACAGCCAATAAAATCACGGGAAAACTAGCCGATCGACTTATACCAACCAGACTCACAACATTCGACTAACAACAATGATAATTTGGTATATCAACTAAGCTGAAATTGTAAATTGGCCACCGTAAAGAGTTAAAAAGCTGACGTTTCGAGCGTTAGCCCTTCGTCATTCGCTTTGACGAAGGGCTAACGTTCGAAACGTCAGCTTTTTAACTCTTTAGGGTGGCCAATTTACAATTTCAACTTAGTTGATATACCAAATGACCTTGTTACCCCACACCGACGCAGCACCACAGTTTCTTTAGAAACTTACCCCCTTTATTTATTTGACAACAGCGATGATGACGTCCGCTCAGGTTGTCGAAACGTGAGTCACCACTGCCAAGAACATTCCTTGTCAGGACTCAGTACACTCACCCGGACGATCAGACTACATTATCACATGTTATCCCCGGGTTCAATCTGTTTACTGTTCAAGCTTCTGATTAACCATTCTCGAGTCCAACTTATCCAAGCTGTGATTTCTATTATTCACAAAATCATCATGCGAACGTTCCCGTATCAGAACACTATGCATCCGTTGAGAAGCCCGTCCAAACCAGCCAAGTTTAACGTATAGGGCGAAGCTGACCCAGAAGAATCACATTGGTCACCAAAATCTTAAAGCTGGGTCATAAAAATGAGAAAATTACAACATGTGCATGTTTTTATCGTTTCTCAGGTTTTTTTGTCTCATCAAAGTCAAGACGACAGAGAAGGTCTTCAAATGAAAAAAAACAAAAAGAGCTTAAAGTTAACACCAAAGGTAATTTATTTTCATTTCGGTATAAAAGTTTTTCTTACCTTCAGGAAATGAAGTCACCCATGACAAACAGTATTAGGATGAGACCAGTATGTCCAGTCCAGTCCTGTTCCGTAAAATGCTGGAAATTGTCTGTAGTACAGTAGCCGTTTTATAGGCTCGTTTCTTGAAAATCAACCCTTTCGTCATAACAAGAGACTGTTTATAACTATAAATCTCTATATATTTACGTAGTTTCAAGTCCACTGTAGAAGTTCATACTCGAAAGATACCATGAATTACCCCGTTCCTATTTTCAATTTCACAAACGAAAGCTCCGCCAACCTGAATTCTTGAAATCTTATCGGGCCAAAAAAGTTACCCTCCAAACTAAACTTAGGCTGGGTCTATAAATTCGACAAGAACAATTCCATTTTTAAACTTTCAGGAGATTAAACAAAAATTCTCGAAAAATTATATCGGCGTGAGACATCATCCATTTCTTCACTAATTTTTATTTATAATCGTAGCTTCTTTAGGTACGCAGCTGTTAGCCGGCCCAAGTCATGAAGACTATCATGAATATCGTCAAGGGCACAATGAGATAACAGACATTCAGGATATTTTAGAAAATGACGAAGTGGAAACGGGCACTACTGGTAAACGAAATTTAAGGGTTAAGAATGCTCCAGAAACCATGTCATGATATTTATCGCTACCTTTGACTAAAATGAATATGCATAAAACGAATGAAATTGGCTGCATTATTATCAATTTCTGTTCTACATCCAACAACACACAAAAAAAAACATCCACAGTATAAATTTACGTTTTTTTATTAAAATTTCACCAACGTATAACCTGATGTTACCTAGAAATCATCGTTGAACCACTTTAGCCTCAGTTCCTTACAACCTCTCGAGGATCCAGCCGCATGAAAACAAACTTCCATCTCCTAAAAACTCTACTAATTTTTCGTCTATCTTCTTCAAGCCTTTGTGTCCGATACACCACCGAGACCGAGAAAGAAGACGAAAAGCCGCTCAACTAATGATGCAACAAACTGTTCTCAGGACAGAGAAAGTGATAACGAGGGAGGTAAACATTATTATTAAAAACTAGATCATTGTATAATGCAATTCAAGACTTTTTATTGGCTTAGCCATTATGGTTTGTCAGCCAATATACCATAATCTACAAATATGGCAAGCGTACGTGTCAGCTTAAAATTAAAAGGGAGCTAAACATTTAATACAATTTAATAACTTAATTTAACGTTTTTAATAAAACAATTATTTCACTCGCTCTTGTTGGATATGAGATGATTATAGCCAACTCGGCGCTACGCGCCTCGTTGGCTATCTATCACCTCATATCCAACGCGCGCTCGTGGAATAATTGTTAATTATCTGATCAAATTACCTGACATACAGGAGGTCTCAACTGGGTGATGGCTCTTACGGATTACGGTTAAAATTTTGACCGTGTCAGGAATAACGGTTGTTTTTCATAATTGGCAGCAATGTCACAATCTGATTGGGCCAATATGCCGTTGTCGTTAAGAATAAACACAACGCTGCTCGCGCCAATGTGTCATACAACGTGTTACGCACTGAAAGAATCGTTTTATGACGAATATCGTCGTCGATAAGAGTACAAACCACGCTAAACCACTGTTATTTGTCGATTTGGGAAGAATTTTTACGCTTAACTTAATCTATGACTAATGGTCAAAATCTGTCAACTTAAACGGCTAACGGCTAAATTTTTCTACTGTTTTACGACCAACGGTAAACGCCACTGAGACCCTCATGCAATAGGTCTTTGTAAGTAAATATTCCCTCTGTAAAAGCCCTCAGTATTGGGGAACACACTCAACAAGCATGTAATGACCCAGGAGTCAATTATGACTCTGTACTAAACGCAGCCTGGTGGAAAAAAATCTACAGGGTATTCTGAATGAAAATAATTACATGCCGAAGTACGACTCGTGAAGTTAAACTGTTTTTATCAGCCAACGAAAATGTATAAAGGCACAGTTCAATGCAGTTTAGTTGCTTGCCTTTTTTCCCTAAAAAATATCATAGAAATCGTTTGTGTCCTTTTTTTTAACGTCTTGGCTTTGGTTCAGCTTCCTCAGGAAGGTGTGGTAGGATAGGTGTGGTAAGGCCGATCCTAATCTCCTTGTTAAATATACCGATTTTGGGGTGCGGCACAGTCAGAACAGTTTGGAGAGCGACGGAGAGAAACGTAGCAGTTATGGTACAATGCAATACAATACAATACAATACTATTATTAATTCTCCCCAAGGGGTTTTTCAGAATTAATTTACAATGTGTGTATATAATATAAATAAGACTAATGATATAAATATAACAACTTACATGTACTTGATATAGCAATAACTTAAAATTAGTACTACTAAAAATAACAATCATACTAACTAACAATGTGAAATATTCTATACCAGAAGTTATATGTTGAGATACCAGTATCCTATTTCTTCACTAATTCTGCCTTTGCATGCTTTCTAAATGATCTTAGTGATCGAGCAGTTCTAGTGTTGTTACTGAGGCTATTCCACGCTTTTGCTGCCCTATAAAAGAAACCATGCTGGGCAGCCGCTGTCCTGCATTTTGGCAAGTTTAGATCTTCACTGTTGCGGAGATTGTAACCGTGTGAAGTTGATCGCTTCCCTATTTTACGGCTAATACATGCTGGCACTAAATTATTAACACATTTATACATCATTATCACATCACACAATCGAAGTTGCTCCTCTATAGTTCGCCAGCCAAGAGCTTTCAAGGCCGGTGTAATGTGATCATATTTCCTCGTGTGAGTTAGTATACGGGCAGCGAAATTCTGCATAAGTTGTAGTTTATGGATATTCTCCTTGTAAGTACCAGACCATACAGCAGAACGATAGAATAGTTGGCTAAACACAATAGAGTTAATCATTATCATGATTAAGCCAGAGTCCAGGGTAACACCCAGGTCTTTGGCGGAAGAGACAGGGTATAGTTGCTGTCCAAGAAAGGTTACAGTGACGTCAGGTAGCTTTGATACAAGCTGCCGCGTTCCAAATTGGAAATTGTTCCAAATTTTCCAAACATTGGAAAAAATTATTTCCTCATATTTTCGATACTTTTTCACAGGCCCCTGGTGTCCACCCACAATGACCACTGCTTAGACGAGTATCGTTGTCTCTAAGAGTACAAATCACGCTAAGCCTTTCTTAATTTGTTAAATTTCTTTCTATTTAAGTGAAAGACGAATTTTTACTACTAACTTAATCTACGATTAATGGTTTAAATTTGTGAACTTAAACGGACAACGGCTAAATTTTTTATCCCGTTTCACGTCCAACAGTTAACTCCACTGAGACCCTCATACAATAGCTCCCTATAAAAGTTGTTAATAAAAACTGGATCATTGGATAATGCAATTCAAGACTTTTTATTGGCTTAGCCATTATGGTATATGAGCCAATATACCCTAATCTACAAATATGGTAAGCGTACACGTCAGCTTAAAATTAAAAGGGAGCTAAAAACTTTGTCTATTATAAAGATTTGTCTAATGACTTGGGGGTGTTTTTAATAAAACAATTATTCCACACGCGCTTGTTGTCATCTCATATCCAACATATATCCATATCTCATATCTCATATCTCATATCGCTCAGTCATCTCATATCCAACGTGCGCTCGTGGAATAATTGTTAAATATTCTTAGCTAAAGCCCTCAGTATTTGGGGAACACTCTCAAAAAAGCATGTACTGACCCAAGAGTCTATTGTGACTCCATACTAAACGTAGCCTAGTGGAGAAAAAAAATTACAGGGCATTGTGGATGAAAATTGTTGCATGCCGAAGTACGACTCATGAAGTTAAACTACTTTTATCAGCCGAAATGTCTGAAGGTACAGTTAAATTCAGTTTAGTTTCGTACCCTTCTTCCCCAATAACTATCACAGAAATCGTAAGCGTCCGGCTTTTGTTTTAGCGTTTTGGCTTTGGTTTAGGTTCCTCAGGAAGGTGTAAGGCCAATCCTTCCCTTGTTGAAAACACCGATTCTGGGGAGCGGTACATGTACACCAAGATGACGGACAGTCAGAACAGTTCGGAATGTGACGGAGAGATACAAAAGAGTTATAGTAATTAAAACATGGAAAAAGTGATTTCCTCATATTTTCGATACTTTTAACAGGCTCCTGGTGTCCATCCGCATTAACCAAAACTTATAAATACATATATCTTATAACCAAGCACAAGGGCCGTACTGGGAGAATATCGGCCCGAGGTCTTGACAGCACGGACCGAGCGCAGCGAGGTCCGTACAAAAAAGACCGAGGGCCGATATTCTTCCAGTACGGTCCCGAGCAAGCTTGGTTAATAAGAGATTTATTATACGACTGAAGTTCAAAGGGACACAAGTGCGGTATCATTCGGGACCATTCGGGACAGTGCCCGGTCCAATACTGAGAGAATATTGACCGGCAATAGAGCATTTTGATTGGTTGATTTTAGTTATTGGCCCTCTGACTGCCCGAGTCGTGTAATAAAGTGGGTTACAACTTGGGTTATGAATAAATTCAAAGCGACAGTGTGCCGATTAGTAAGTTCCTAACTAAACTGGTGAGATCCAATGAATTCCCGTTCTAGTCTGTTTTTTTCTTTTGATGTCGTCCCACGCTTCGGGTGCAAACATTTATATTCATAAAAGATTTGAAATGAGACTGACTTAAATAAAGAGTAAATGAGAAATAATGCCACGTTAGCCAATGAGCAGCGCTGAAGGCAGACCTTGAGGCCTTATGAATTCATATCGCATAATTTTATTCT